GGTCATTCCCAAACGCTTGTAACACGGTGTCCGAGTTACAAGTTCCCACCGTGGGCAGCGAACTTCTTGACAGCATGGGGACCATGTTGGCCCAAAACGAACCTCCAACCTAGCGGCGATGGCCTCCAACCTACCAAAAAGAAAGCAAACAGAACACAAAATGGTGTCTTGTCCATTTCCATGTCAACCTGGTGAACACCACGTAAAGCAAAAACACAACTCTTCCCAGTGAGTCATCTATACACACACAACTCACCCCGAGCTGGCTCCCGAATGCGAAGAATCCACGGACTCGTGGTCTGTCCACGGACGCGCGGTGTCGTCCACGCCAAGGAACTTGAACTCGATCGGTGGCAACGCTCCGTGTTGGCCCGGCAGGGACTGTGACCTGGGCGGTCGCTGGCCACGTCACCGGGGCGGGTCGCCGTGTCACAAAAGCGCCTTCCAAAGACGGTGCGAGAGATGGGTCGAAGTGCGTGCACAAAGGATAGGAGTATGGATGAGAAAGCACGTGGAGCACGTGGTGTGATACCCATTCGTCCATCTCCATCTAGTCCAATCAGTGAACAAGTGTGATTACCCATGTGAAAAGCATGGCTGCGCTATCTGAGCTTGGTATCTGAATTGTACGTGCCACATGATGATGATAGCTAAGACGCAGGAGAAATGGCAATTTGTCAGAAAGATCCAGAAAGCAATCCTTTAAGCGTCTTGCAGAATTGAATTGCGGCCACTGCACTCTATCCCGACTCTCTATCCCACATGTCACGCGGACCATGAAAGAACTTCAAACTCCGCTTAGCTACATTTGTCCATCTTCCGCTTCCTCCTCGATAAACAACCTGAAGATTTCCCAGACACCCAGCAGTGGGAACACGTTGTGAACACTGCTTAACCTGCTATATCTAACAAGCATGCTTCGCTGGCTGGCAATTCTGGCTGGCTGCCCTTCTCACTCTTCAGATTGCTAGAGGCTGCTAGAGGGAGGGCAGACCTTGTCAAGTGGCAAAAAGCAATGCGCATTACCATCCAGTGCACCTACTCCCAAGTGTTCCTCCCGGACCCCCTGGCCGCACCCGTTTCAGATGCAAACATGCATGTCTAGACCCCAGCCGTACATGGCTGCCAGCCTGTGCAAACCTGGAAGCCCAAGGAGCCCCAAACCCTTGTAGGTTGACCTCCGAAGTCAGTTCATGCTCGGTGCGAAAGACCCAGATCCTGCCGTGACCCACAGCCCACAGCCGAGAACGATACAAAGCACCTCTTGGAACAAACAAACAAACAAACAGCATACCTGGCATACCTCCTCTTGGAACTGGGTGAACGATCGAACGATCGTGAAGTGCACGAAAGCGACGACATCGTCCTTCTCGTCCTTCCTTCCCGACAGAACCAGCCGGATTTGCATCATCGGAATCATGATCATCCACTGTTGCTGGTGATATATCCAAAAAGTTATAGTTATAAGTTACAAGATTTGTACTTCATTCGAGTTCCATCATCACGTTCCATGCGCGTCCAATCTTGAAATCGGAACACCCCTCTTCACCCCTCTTCACCCCCACTCTCCACCCCTCGCCGTCGCTGGCCCGGCCGCCACTTGCCACTCGACGGCTGCTACATTTGGCCTCCAACCTAAAAGCAAACGACTATATAAGACCTTAAGGATCTTTTCTGTTTCAATTGGCCATGATCTCCAACCATCAATAGCGATGGCCTCCAGCTCCCAAGATGGCGCCCCACCGCGACAGCGAACACCGCGACACTTCGCCTCACCAGCTCGGGTGGTTTGGGTCTCCAAGAGGCGATCGTGGCAACGAGGTGGTGAGGTTGGGCACACTCAAGCGAGGTGAGGCCTCGGGAGCGGAGCGGAGCGGAGAGAGGCACTTCCGGGCCGCTCTACTGAAGAAAGACGGGAAGACGAGCGGGAAGAGTGGTCAAGGCAAAAAGGAGCTCCAAGGCAAGTCATTTTTGAGTTCATTTCGGTGCTTTTTTAGATTCTTGAGATTTGCGTATATAATGAACAACCATGGATAACCATGGAACGTTCAGTCAGGTTTTGGTGTTGTTTTCTTTGGGGTGTTGGTTTGGCATGGGAAAACGGTCATGAAACTGGCCTTGCCCAATTTGTGAGCTGCTCAGGAAGCTGGGAACACCATGTGGTGCCACCAACTTACGGTCAGCAGCAGCCGTTCCAGAATTTGAGTCTACAAAGCCCCAGTACCACCACATCACCAGTTTGGCCATATACCATCCGCCCCAGTACCATCCAGCAGCCCCCAAGCTGCTTGATGGATCCGATCCAAAGCCCACAAGCTGCTTGATGGATCCATTCGCCCCTTCTGCTCCCTTTCGCTCGGTAGCGACCTGACCGGTGGGCCCCCCCACGTAGGAGATCGGTGGGGTGGACGTAGCGGTGCCGGTGTAGGTGATCGGTGGCATGGTCCTGCGGATGGAGGGGAACGATCGGAGTTGGCTGGGTGAAACCAAAGAAGCTCATTGCGCAAGAGAGATCAATTCACGTTCAGAGTTCCTTCACCCAAAATTCCACGCACCGGCTGGAGAGTGGCCTCCCTGGCCCTATGATGTTGATCCTGACGTTTGAAAAGCACCCAGTGAGCCGATCCGGATTTTAAGCAAAACTGGCGATGCACCCGTCCTTCACCGTCGACCTTTCTCACCTCCAAATCCAACTGGGGCTGCCAAAAAAAACAAATCAGGGGAGCGAAAACCTCTACGTGCCTGGTAGATGATGTGCCTGGCCGCATCCTGGCTTTTTTCTTCTTCCGCCTCTTCCGCCCCCCCTCACCGGCGTTCGGCGTTAGCCCTCGAATGGCCTGTAGGTGGTCACCAGTGCCGTCATGGTGACGGGCGGTGGAGATGTGGTAATGGGCGCGGTGGTGGTGACAGGAGCCGTGGTGGTGTAGACCGGCTGAAGTACCTCGAAGCAAAGCAAGCCACGAAGGAAAACCATGCTATTCTTGTACAGCTATTTAGTAGTCTAGAAATGTGTTTTGAATGTATTCTACCAAGAAATTGACACACATTGAGTCTATACAAGACAAAACTGACCTCAAATTGATGAGGACCATCTTGGGTCCCTTTGGGTCGAAACATGCGAAAACCCGACTCCGAACCGGACGTTTCAAATCCGTCCCGGTGTCCGGGGGCGGGCGTTGATTGACGCCGTGGGGAGAGAGGAGTATCGGTGTATTCTCGTCGTTTGGTTTACAAGCAGTATAATCAGCACCCTACAAGTCCGACGACCAAGCTAAAACCTGGTCGTCCTTGACCTTCTGAAACATCGTGTGTTTTTTTGGATGACCGTCAGTCAATTGAGGTCATTGACTTGTATCTTGTACGGTATATGATACGGTATATAGTAACTATAGGGGATAAGAAGTGACCTAAACCACTAAGAGGATGGCACTGTCATAGGCTCCCTCCTCATGCCATTGACCCATCATCGACGCGTCATATCATCGGCTCGGTCACCGGTGCAGCGCTGAACCTGGGGAGACACGTTGGCCCAACGGGTCAAATGGCACGCTTTAAAGACGGTCTACCAGTGGTTTGACGCAGGTCTTTGTTAGTCTGAGGAGAACCTGGACTGGAGATTGATGAAATCTTTGATCAACGGGACTTTCGAAATCGCATATTTGGGGCCCCAGGTTGTTGGGCTGGGAGAAAAAGAAAACCTAACAATTTTGGAGTTCCGTGGTTTGCCGCACTGCCCGAAGAAAATGGTTTCAGGACACAAGATGATCCAGGAAAAGCTTTAATTCACTGTATCCAGTTGAAATGATCTAAGATGATCTAAGGGTTTTGCGTATACCCCCTGGCAATAACCCCTGGAATCCTCCCTACATATAGGGCCTATGTAACACTTAAGAAGCTACATGTCGCTGTCCGTCTTCGCCCACACCAGACGTAGCTTCGGATGCTGAGAACAGTGACCGGACGAACGTGTTTGACCTCCGATATGGAAAGGGCCATATAGGTTGGATAGTGGATCCTCCAAAATAGGGGTCAGTCAGGTTCCACCAACAGAGGTGGAAGAGCTCCACATTGACAATACCAAATCCCATAATTAGGTATACCCCACTAGGTTACAGGTCCTTTTCACACCAAAAAAATTCTTTTGGTAAGGCAAACGGTTCGATTCGCCCGAGCAAACCTTTCATCACCCGGCGGCGTGGGCAAGGTGGTCGCCATGAACGTCCACGGGAGGCACTCGCTCGCGCGTTTTTCGCTCGCGGGCAACCGGTCGCTAGTCTCCTGCAGTCGGGTGGAGGCAGAATTCGGGCATCCTTGGAGAAGAGCCCTATATCAAAGACCAAAAACGAGTAAAGGTTGGAAAATTGGCAAGAATCCAAAATTATTCGAATACACAAACACACTTAGACTGTTTACTCAACTGAATGAGCATTGATGCATTAGCCCTGTATCTTACTGCAGATTAGACCTTGACTCGCAAAACGGTAAGGCGATCAGTTGGTGGTAACAGCCCTTGGAAACAGGGTGTGACACAAACACACACACACACACACACACACACACACACGCACACGAAAACACACTGACCGCCAAATCATTACAGTAGATCTCTATATATCTCATCCATTCTCATCCCAACCTCCTTGAACACGATACCTTGCCGACGATACCTTGCAACCTCTCAGCATTCCCTCTCCCGGTCCCCCGTCCTTCGGCTACGTCGCAGCGAAGCTGCCGTTCGAGCCAGGCATGCGGCGAAGTGCCACAGCGTGGTGTTTGGTGGGGGTTCTGCGGTGAAGCCCCATTGAAAAAGGGACAAGGGTCATCTCATGGTTGGAGGTGGCGGAGTCTTCCGAGAAGCTGACCAGCCCCAGGAGCCGTGTCGACCCCAAACCACGCAGTTACCGCCGCCCGACGCGATTCGGACGTCCGTGCGGTGTGGCGGTCAGTGACGGGGCGGCGGTCGATGGTCGGTCCGGTCGGTGCGACAGGGAGCCCCGAGCACATCATATCCGTCTTTTCCATCATCGCCACTCCACCAGCTGTCCTTGCGGTGTGGCGCTCGCGGCACACCCAGTGTGCGGTGTTAAACAAGTTAGAGCAGCGCCAAGCGGCTATGGAAGGGTCAAGAAAGAACCAAACTTGAACACACAGGAAAACACATAGTAGATCAGAGTAGACATCTTTTTCAACAACTGTTGACCTACCTACCGTTTGTTATTTCCGCTTTCGTCTTACTCACATCTGAGGTTGCGTATGAAGGTATACCCCTTATGTCAAATGTGAGGGGTGAAAAGGTTTAACTGGCGCACTACTGAAGTAATTATTCCTGGCAGCATAGCTGCGAAAAGCTTCCCCGGCAGACCTGTTTCTTGAACATGAAGGAACCAACAAACGATCTGGGAGACCCTGGGCCGAGCATGTGGAACTCAATGTCTGCTTCCGGGACATGCCCCTTCCATGGTATGAGCACCAGCCGAAGGTATCCGCAGATCCTGTAGCCGCTTTATTCTACATCTTGCTTGGGCCCCCCCCCAACAAACACACACCAGGTCCCGAATGCGCTCGACCTCGATTTTCGAACGAGAAGTCCTTGTAGGCATTCTCTTCCGTGTGGACCTGCCATCGCAGGCCAGGCTGACACTCTGTGGAGGGCAAGTGCCTGGTTCACCATTCACGATGCTGCGAGACCAGGGACATCGTTACATCCCAAATGGTGTCCACCTGGCCAGTGCCAGCGAGTGGCTAGGGTTGGTTTCGCGAGGCGTCCCATACAAAATTAGCGTCCCCGATTTGTCCCTACTATGGTGGTTTTCAAGGAAACAACTGGTTTTTGCCGCGAAATCCACGCACTTCCTGGGTAGGCCATGGGTCTGCCTCGGGCTGTTCTCCTCTGCTCTGCGCCTGCTTCGCCGGCGGCTGCAGCAGCTGGGCGATCAACGCCTGCTCAGGGCGCTGTTCGAGCAGAATCCAACTCAGCGTTCGGAGCCGTTCGGAGCTCATGACCGGCGAGCTCCCTATCTCCAGGAAGAAGCATCTTCGTGTGGATTCCAGCAGATTCGACCAAAGGGAAGCTGATAGTTTAAGGCGTTTTTCATTTTTTTTGTGTGTTCTTCCTGGCTTTTCCACGGATCTGTTCATGTCTTTTCCCCGATTTCTTCCGAGCTTCCGATCGAATGCAGCTTTCGGGATCAGATCGCAATTATGGCCTTTTTGGGTTCACACACTCATCATCCAGGTCCTACACACTCATCACCTCCCGGCCAGCAGGGGCCTGAACCCCACGATCCACTTCCGGCACGTGGTGAGGTGGAGCATGGGGCCTCAGGAGTGCAGGAGTGGAGCAAGAGCATGGGGCCTGTATCCAGAAACGCCTTAAATCTTTACCGTCTTCATCATCTCTTCATACCTGTTCACCATATTTTTTCATCTCTCTTGATTCTTCCGCCTTTCCAAAAAACCAGACTGAACGATTAGGATGGTTCCGTCTCTAGGACGCCGCCGCCAACACGAAAACGCTCCGAACCACCTCTTCGGCCGCCTCGTTTTCCCCAGCCGCTCTGAGCTCCCCCAGCGTCAGCGCCGCCAGCGTGCAGCCCAACGCCTAGCCACGGGAACCGTGAGGTGGTGGACGGCCAACCGAAGCTGATGGGGGGAGGTCTGCCAGACCCGTGCCACACGGAGTTCCATTTGGGACTGCTTAGAGTGGGACTGCTTCACAAGTCCCACACCTTGACGATAGGAAATACTAGGACATACTCAAGTCCGCTCCCATTCGATCATCCCTTGCACCGGGATCTCCACCTTCACTGCTGCCCGCCGCAGCTTTGGATCATCTGCCGGGGTCCTCCGCGGGCGCCATGCGATCCATCGCCCTTCATGTGGTTGGAAAAGCAAGTCAGTGGTGTGATGAAAGCAGAAATCCACTTAGTCGAAGCACCAGACCCGTTGAACGTTCCTGGAGCCTCCCTACTCCCTACAAGCTGTCTGCATGTTAGCCGCTAGCCAGGCTTTGCAAACAAGGTGCTGGATGATCTCCAACAGGAGCACCAAAGCCGCCTCATTGAGACTCTTCAGCGACCAAATGTGCGGATTTGTCGACCAAATCGCTGACCTCTGACTTCCCCAGATCAATGGGAGAGAAGCAACATCAAATCAAGCCCTTGACCACATGCGTTCAGCGGTGCTATGTCAAGGCCTCTATGCTGAATCCTTCCAGAGCGATGCCCCCCCCACCGTGTGCGGACAGCCGTGAGTTCTGCTCCGATGACTTATTGGAACCTATTGAGTAAATCGGAATAAAACATGTGTGAAAATCCTTGATAACAGGCCGGACGTTGATGTGAAAGGACCTCCTTCATGAAAATCCCGCCATCTTCCCTGTCTTCAGTTATAGGGTGCTGGGATGGTGGCTGTTGTCATGTCACGTAGTTAACCCCTTGGATAGAAAACATATTGAAACATGTTCATGTTGCTGCTTGGGACATACATAGGAATATATAGGAATATCATTAGTCAGAATCCCCGGTCGATCAGTTCATTTCTGCTGATTTTCTGCTGATTTCTGCTTGGCTTCCAAGCCCCAGGGTCCACATTCGCTGTTGGGACGTGGCGATAGCACTTGTTCATCCATGTTTGATGATGTATCCATCAGTGCAGGGAATGTGTTTGTGAAACGACCTTGCATCCCAGTCAGTGTATGCCTGGGGTGTGCCGAGCAGGATTGATTTGTATGCTGAGCTCCTGGTTCTCTGTTGAATGTGACTTTCCTTCATGACTGGTGTCTTTGGATTGGCCTGCGGCTTTCTTTTGGCCTCGCGCGGTAACCCAAGCTGGAGGAGGATGAGGAACTATGCTTCATGCCCGCTCTCCTAGGCATCCCCCACCGGCAGCTTGGAGAGCTCCTCCCGGTCGGAGGCTTTGAAGGCTAACCTCGGCACTTCCGAGGCCGGTGCTCGCGAAATTGCGTTTTCACACACATTTCTTTGGTTATGCTCGAGATTGGAAGGCACCATCAAAGCTGAATGCTATAACCTGATGCTGCTTCTGATGATAACATGTAAAGGACAATGGGCAGCTGCACGACGTCCACGGTCACACCAAGAACGCAGCAGCTGGACTGAGTTCCTTCTTCCAACTCCAAACGCTGTTCAACAGAGTCTTTTCAGGCTCTTCAGGCCATGGATGCAGAGATGTACACCCTAGCGGCACTAGCAGCAGGTCGATAACACACAATGTGGGAGGACCATGCCACGTCCGGGTTACTCAAGGCAATGTTCATCAATAGTCCGGTCACAAGCCTAATTGTTCTACAATCTTCTACATAGTTCTGCTGTGGGTGTATCACCTTGCACACACATCGACGCCACTCCCTCAGATCTGTTTGCGACATCAATCAGGGAGTGTCAGCGTGAAAACCGATGAGGACACTTCTGCTTTCAGCATCTCTCCACTAAGCAGGACATCCAGCAGGAAAAGCTGGCTGATCAGCTTGCGGCCAGGCTTACAGGGCTTAGGATCGTCAGAACGACGACGACCCTCCAAAAAAAAACACGTAGAATCTGACCAACCACACTGACTGGAAGGAAGATCCCTGTCCTAACCATCAAGATGGTTTGTTTCCATGGTGTTTGTTTTTGAAAAGTGGAGCGCCATGACGACGCTAGCTTCAGCGTGCACCTGAAGAAGCTTCAGCCTCCTCCCAGGCAGCACCTGCGAGCTGGTGAGGGATGTGAGCTTTTTGGAAGAGCCAACACGAGCAGAACCAAGAGAGGTTCAGCGACCTTATTAGGATATTATAGGACCCAGAATGTAGGGATTCCGGGCACAAGTTTGGTTCATTTTTCCACCATCATTGCGGTGCAGGGAACAGGATAAAGGGGATGAAAGCTGCCTTAAACGAATTATGTCAACCATAGTATACCCCTTGGATGCAGGTGCTAGGCTTGGGAGGCAGGTTCCACTCACTACATAATAATATATATATATAAACGGTTGATAACGGTTGGGTACATTATATCCAAGTACCAGGGCCCAGTGGATGATGATGTATGATGGTTGGGTTGCAGGCCTTTCGGTCTCTGTAAAGAGTTCTTGTGAAACCCCACTGTTACAGGTTTTCTGGGAAACAAAACAGGTCCATTGATGGGCGCCTGAGCCGAGAACCGCACGAAGCAAACCGAAGGCCTGGCCTGCTTACACCCAGCCCATTGGAGGGAGGTTTCCCGCTTAAAATACAAAGCCACATGGAAGGTCTCAAAGAACCAGCCAGGAACATACGATCCCTCAATCAAGTCCACGAACCAAGACCTGGCCACCACTTGCCTCGTTTGCAGTCCGAAGCTTCAAAACGACCTCTGCCACACACTCCAAGCAGAACCCCCCCGGCTGGATGCTCATCTCCGAGGCGCGTGAATAGCTCCACAAAAGGCCCAGCAGAACGACCTGCCGCGAGCCCGCACCAGGCAGGTTGGGGTGGTTTATAGACACCCCGGCAGCCCCGGCAGTCTGGTCATGTTGCGTCCTATCAACACCGGTTCCGTGGTTGCTGGCTTGAGGGTTTTGTCTTTGCATATTTTATTACCAAATCATATCATGTGCCCTCCATGTTGCTGCGCGATTTGAGCAAAAATGCTCCCCACAATCTCAAAAGGCCGCCACCAAACAGACATGCACCGCCCTGCCCTGGCACCCTGCCACTCCTACGCACCCTTCTGCTCCACGTGTGGCGTCCGGACCGCTTGGTCCGGTCCGGGCGCCTGCAGAAGGCCCCGGATGAGATGAAACTCCACGGGGATGGGTTGATCCCCGGGAGTGAGCCCTGGAGCGGAGCGGGCGGCGCACCCACCGGGCACCAGCTGGACGGCACAAGAGCGAATTCCAGAGGTGCGACGGCATTGGTATTTGGCGGTTCCCCCCCCTCCGAAAGTGGAGTGACTCATCACCACTCACCTGCAGGTGATCCACGAAACTCAAATACACTATCTCTTAGGAACGGGGGCCCTATCTCGTTTTACACTACTTAAGCAGGAGGTCATGTCACAGTATCTCGCTCAGACTACTTTAGTGACATCAAACAATAGTTGCTCGTTCATGTGGGGGCCACTGTGGGGGCCCTCTCTCGTTCACAAGCGAATACTGATGATAGACAAGCAACTAGAGCATGCCGTAGACAACTTTACTAAAACCTAAATAAAAGTGGGTTGCTCATATGGGAGGAAAATGCACAAATAAGTGAGATGAGTGGTAGTATGAGTGGTAGTATGAGATATCCTAGGGATGAGTGGTAGTATACCTGCTTGCGAGTCTCTGGTTGTTGCTGTAATAGTCATGCAGCATGCACATAGGTAGGTAGACTGGTAGACCCACAGTATACCCGTGCCGATTCTGGCGAAGTAATCAATGTAGAAGAACGGGAACGGTCTCCTCTTTCTTGCAACATCTTGTTTCTGGGTGTCTGTGACTGGTGTCTTAGCATGACAAAACGAAGGGCTATAAGAAAACGATTACTTCTGTTTGGGAAATATATTGTTATTAATATTGAATGGTATAGGAAAATCAGCATCACTACTAACTGACGGCCCCCCTCCACCTACTTGCAGCTCCCACTTCAGCGGTGACGGCCCACGCAGCTGCGCCTACCATCTGAGCTCCGTGTGTGTACATGTAGACCTGCAGCATTGGGACTTCCTATCCCATGATGGAGCCTACCAGGTGGGAAAAGCATCTTCAAAAGTCATGTTGCTCATTGACCTTTTAAGGCTTAAATGCACTTCCGGGTGGTCATGGGAGCAGTCAAGACTTCTATCACGGTCAGCGCACCGTGGCAAGCGGACCAGGTGTGTCTTCTTTTTCGCTGCGACATCAAACATGGTCCATACATGGTCCCTCAATCAACCTATATATAGCGGGTGTAAGTTATAAGTCCAAAGTGTGGGAAAACAATTAATTCAAAATCCTGAGAACCCACCCTAGGGATCCGGTCGTACCTTCTCAGGTACAATGATTGGATAATATTGGAGTCGACACTGTTATTATGTAGGTGCCAGGAGGGTCCCTAGGGCAATAAGTTGTAAACAAACCTAGGCTCCTATATCCTATCAAAAGTGCGCAGGTCTGCTTGTCAACAGGTCTTCAAAGGAGCTGTGTTTGGGACCAATAGCAAATGGAAATGGCTACAAAGTTCAATCAATGAACCGCCCAAACTTGCAGGATTCTCCTTCAATAACAAGAAGCCCCAGCAAATGGGCCGCGGAAAGCCGCCGTGACTACGTCCCTTCAACCTGCGGTCCCAGTGGCGTTCGCCGGGGTCACCGCGCACGTGAGCGCGCAAAGACCCAGCGCGCTCAAGGCTGGGAGGCGCTTCACGGCAGCAGGGAGCTCCCATTGCAAAGCGCCTGGGCGTCGCGTGGCGTTCGGGGCGGGCGGCGGTGGTGCCGCGAGGGCGGATTGGCGCGGAGAGGTGAACCGTCACCTTTTGCAGGCGGTCATCTGAAATGTTGCAAGCCGTCGCAGTAGCGACAGTAGCGACAGTACAGTGAATCTGCACCGCCATGAGATTGTCATGCAGGTGTTGCGGAACGCGGCCTGTTTTCTTCGGTCCAACTCACCGGCTCGACCCGACCCAGACCCGCTTTTTGGTGAAGCCACGGACACCAAACACCGCATCTCCCCACACCCAGACCTCAGACGCGGTCGCTCGGCACCTGCGAGGCCCCAGAGGAGCGCTCCCACGAAGAGCCCGGTGCCGCCCAAGAGCTCCGCCACGCCGGTCCAGGCCACGTGGAACGAGGCCTGGGCGCCGCCGCCGGCGCGGCCAGCACGGTGTGACCGATCCGGTCACCGGGAGAGGACAGGGGAATTGGGAGAAAAGGTACGGCGACCATCTATGAGTCAGCTTCAAAGCAACTTGGAAGATGACTTGAATACTTGAAGTGTATTTTAGTATATAGTCAGTTATATACAGATCTTGACCTCTTGGACCTTGGTCGTATCCTGTTCGACCTCCTACGGTTCACAGTGTCTTCCTCAGCGAGGTGAAGCTATCACATCAAGATGGTCCATACTGGATTGGCGAAGATTCCCAGGAAGACCCTGCTGTTCATCGTCCACTGTTCACCTACCTTTCTATCCATCAGTGCATCTACAGGTCATGCTACTGGTCTTTTCCACTTGGGACCAGGCCAACCTGTCCCACGCATGGAAACCATGCTGGTTGAATCCCAAAGCCTTCCTCCCAAGTCTGCAGTTGCAGCGCCCTTGGGTCAAGAGGCAGAGCCAGGCAAGTACCTTAGCTCACATTTAATGGACATGTGCTATGCCTTGGCAAAGAATACCACCAAACGATTCAGATATGCAAGTGCCTCCTATGGCCAAACACCCAAGACAGGGCTCTAAATAAACAAAATGTATCTCTCATCCCTTCCAGCTCGTATCTAACTAAGGAGTAGACTTGATGTCTATATATACACCGGATCTTCATCTACTGAGCTACTATATTCTAACCCCTTCTACCAACCTTTCTTGATCCTTTTCACTTGCTATACCAAGTAAATGAAAACCAGATCCGAGAGGCCAGAACCCCCCAGGTCCCCATGGGTGGATAGATCGCTTCGAAGGCTTCGGCTGCCGTGAAGTGTGCCACGCCTGCCGCCATGTAGAAGGCGCCTGAGCGGCTTCCGGTGGTTGTTGTTGTTGTTGTTGTTGTTCTCTGGGAGCTTGAGACAAACAGGCAAAGACAGTTGCTTGGTGTGCCACACCACTGAGTATATAGATATGTTATATTGAGTTCCTTCAAAAAGAATGATATCCACAATTCTGGTACATGTGGATGTGAATCTTGATCATCCCTGCAAGGGCATTCCTCAGCCCCCCAGGAAGAACCTGGCACATGCACATCCTTCAACTTGGACTGGAAAACATGGGTGGGTTCAAGTGAATTCTTTTGAATTTCCGTGCTTCAACTCCAAAATCTTCGAGATTCTTTGAGTGCTTGGTGCCTGGCTGCCTAGCTTCTCAAATGAAAAGAAAGCTGACCCCCAGTGCTGTGTTACAAAAAACAACTCTGAGAGCTTCAAGGAAGACCAGCGGACCACGCTCTTTGGGCACCGAGCTCTTTGGGCACCAATGAGATACCCTTTGACTGCCATGTGTAGGTATTCGAAGCCCTACCGAAAACTATATCTCTGAGGGTTGGCCTCACCATGAATCAAGTCATATCCACAACATTCGCCGATCCAAGTCGCCGAGAATTGGCCAGGTCTTCTGCCAGCCTTTGAACCTGGCAGAACCGGCATCGATCTTTTCTCAGAAGCAAGGGTGGTGAGGACGAATTGATCGTTCCCATCTCTAAGAAAAACTTGAAACCCACCTAGTTCGCCTCAATACTTAATCCATCGGTTCGCCTCATCAAATCTCTGGGTGTCTCGTTCGCCAACAATTGGAACTCTGACCGGTCCTTAACCACCCCAAAAGCGGTCGTTGGACCAGAGAGGACCAACCAACAAGGCTCAGGTACCAAGGACCCAAATCGATAGCTTGCGCGTCCAGGCTGAAAGCCTCCTCATGTTGTTATCTCAAGGAGCAACTAGGCCAGAGTATAAGAGGAGGAAATGACGCAGGTTGCAGGCCTTCTGCATGGCACATCCAATGTATGACCTCTGATTTCTAGTCTAGCTTGTGTGGCCAAATCACCACTGAGGGTGTTCCTTTACAGGGCACTTCCCGGTGTTTCATACACATTCCTTCCACTGGGACACACACTTGTCAAGTACATGGTAGACTTGGAACCCTACGCCCATCGACGTGATGGGATCCATGATAGACAAGGGTATACCAGTTGTGCCTCACCCAAGTTGCTGCAGTCGGGTGGCCATCCCTCGGGGAGGATCTTCTGAAGAAACCTCAGCGACAGCAGCCGAGCTGCACGGAAAGCAAAGACGAAAGCACGTGGGTGAGACGAAAGACACCCGACCAACCCAGCATACACAGCAAAGAGTGAAAGAATTGCATATCAAACTGCCACTGTGAATTGATACCTCTCGTTTCAACCAAACTAAGTATATGTGTGTTTGTCGGGGTTTGAACTATATGTTTGGGCCTTGAATTCACACCTCACTGGATACACAAGGCACATGTTTGGGCTTGGATGATGACAAATCAATCTTCACTTGTCTTTTCAGGTTGCAATTCCTTTGTGGCGCAACCTGTCCAGTCTGCGAGGCATGCACCCAGCTAAAGGAATGTTCCTTCATACCAGCCAAAGCCGGTATGGATCAGGTTCAAGCTGGTTCCTCCCTGCTTCGCCTCGTTGCTTCGCCGCAACCTGCTCCACCCGACGTCTTCGCGGCTTCGTCCACTCCGCGTCGAGCCGACCCTCTCGGAGCGTCTCGTGACCCAGCCACTGGAAGATGGGCCCCACCAGGACGTAGGTGAACAGGGCCAAAGCGCCAAAGATGGCCAGGACCACCTGGTGTCTGGAATGAGATGGGATGAGATGATAGATGACGAGGATTTTCCAGCCACCAGCCATCATCGATCCTTGGACACTCCACATGCTACAGCGCTGTTGCAGCTGCATCATATCGCAGTCTATCATGTATGAGATGGAATTCTGGGGAATCTGTTGAATCTGTGGTCTTTTCCATTGCCTTACCAAATTAATCCATAACTCTTCCCCACCTCGCCTGTGCCTGCTGCGCCTCCGGCAGCGCATTCACCCCGCTGGGCGCCATGGGCATCGCTTCGGCGCCGGCGGCGCCGGCACAGGAGGCACCCGCCGCCAGGCCCGAAAGGCCTATTGGGCCCGTCGTCTTCTGTGCCAGAGAAATCAAGCCCTAGGAATCCACATACCTTCTCAGAAGGTACTTGGGCCCTCCAAGCCTACATATATATATATATAGATAGTCTCCAATCACCTTCTGAGAAGGTACGACTGGATCCCTAGGGAAGGAATATAAGTCCTGAGTCGAATGTCGATGTGTGGATTTGTGTTGTCTTCATTTTTACCTTTGACATCCAGAGACTTAGATCTTTCGTTACGAGATTCTAAGGGGGGTGAGTGGAGGGGGTGGTCTTGGAGATGAATATGTTGAGGGTGCGGAGGGTGCCCTCAACATATTGGGCTGTTTCATCTGTATGCTTATAAACAACTGCATTGACTATCAAGAGTTGTGGCAGTTTGGGGGGTCATCTGGCTGGCATTTGTTCATGGCTCAGTTCCCTATGACATGTTGTTGAATTCCGAATGGGTTGCTCATGGTTATTCTACTCGTTTTGGATGGTTTTGGTGATGCAACGTCAAAGCAACGCTGGATGATCGAAAGGTCTTGTGTTCTTCTTCTATCCATTCACCCTATACGGCCTATACATGTTTACCTCTTAAATTGAACAAGGCGTGTGCATATATATATATAACTGGGATCATGGCTGCACACCAGAGCTTGCCACCCAATCTTAGCTATTAGGTTGATATCACAAAACGGGTGTCATTCATTTAGCACACAAAAGCTACGAGGAATAGTCACGACCGCCATACTACCAGCACGACAAACTACCCATCCCAGTTGTTTGTGTGATCCGCACTTTGCCAACTAACCAAGCTGCCAGCAGCCTGACAGCCTCGCGTGGCTTTTCCTGGGATGAACGCAAGGCCAGCCATCAGAGCTGACAACACCAGCAGCCCACGCAACGGGCCCCGCGGGTACGTCACGCGCGGCATGCGCGGCATGGTGGAAGCGAAGTGAATCACCTGCTCAGTGGGTGGGGTGGAGACATGAAAAGCTCTCGCAAGATTGATATGTTTGGAGCTCATGTGATGTCAGTGTTGTGTGTTTACGTTGGGCCAGACATATTCTTGAAGTTGAAGCCACCATTTGGAAGAGACTCTTTGAACGAATCCAGCAGGGAACATGAGTCAATAAAGCCAAACGCTGTTGCACAAAGCTGCTGCGTCTACCTTGCATCCCAAACCTTCTTCCGTTCTGGCCACTTTGCTTTGTCATCTCTGGGGGGGGCCGAGTCCGTTGCGGCCGAAGGAAAATAGGAAGCTGCAACCAAAGGCGGCGGTGCAGCGGGGTTCACCGAAAGCAGCGACGCTGAAGAAGGACCGATCCTCCTATGTGGGATGTGGGATGAAGGGTCTAAACTTGGAAGAACAACAACAACAACAACAACAACATGTTTACAGGCAGTTTACAAGCAGTTTTGCATGATAGACCAGTTTAAACTGGCCTATCATGTTTACATGTCTCAGTGCTGTTCAAGCAAGAAGAGAAACAAAAAACACAGGCAATTGCCTCCCAAAGAACACCGAGTTGCAATGCCCGCATCCGTAGCCAAGTCTGGTCAGTATGGGTCGGGGCAGTCCGCACCCAGGTAGCGACCTGCCTATCTAGGTCGCGACCGTCCCCCAGTTCGTCACGGGAAACGTCGTACCGAAGTCCCCCCCACAGACCAGTCTGCACCATCGAACGATCACCGAAGCACCAATGGAGAGGCGCCAGGATACGCGACGCGGCGTATCCTTGATACGCCGCTCTGGGTCACAAGAAGTGCAGCTCCCACGTCCTGGAACCGGGAAAGATAACACATGTATATTCCTCGGAAGCGGATTTCACCCAGTTCGAGAGTATCAACAAATCTCCTGATTCGCAAAACCACCAGGTGAATCACGCCCCCACTGCCCCCCCCCAAAACACCTGGACATGCAATATCTTCGATAGCTTCTGAGGTTCTCGCGTGGACACGGCGCAAGCACCGCCCAAAAGCAGCTTTGGCTTATGAGGCCTGGTCATGGCGGGCGGCATTCGGCCTTCAATCAAACCAACCGGGAAAGGTACGGAAAAAATGCTGGCGCTTGTTGGTTGGCAGTCAACCTGCAACATCCATGGCAGAGCACAGAATTGAATAATGTTGTGACATGTCCAAAACGACCTGCTCCTCTTCAGGACCAGGGATTTGATGTGCTTTCACTTTCACCCTTCTAGATGCAATAAGTTCCATATGGTTCCATCATCTTAGGGATCCAAGTGCCTTCTCAGAAGGTGATGAGAAGGTATGTGGATCCCTAGGGCATGTCAAATCCCCAAAAAAAGCCTCAAACAACAGTGACTCCGAACACTTTCAGACTCCACACAAGCCACGTTTGCCGCCTGTCGGAACTAAAACCCTTTGTCCTTGCTCCTTTGCTCGCCCAATATGGGGGCTAGGCGTGGCTAGGCTCAGCACGCATAAATAGTGTCGAGGTGACCACCCAAGAATCTTGAGATGAACTATATAGTCCTTCACATGGCCTGAACCCTAGTAGTTTCTTTGCTCCTAGTAGCAATGCCAGGAGCCCCTAGTAGCGTCCTTGCTCCTAGTAGTACGGTCAGGAGCCCTTAGTAGCTTCTTGTTCCAAAATATTGGTGAACAATCTCCTGTTGTACCAGCTGTGTCATGTTAAACATCTGCCTGAGCGGGGTTACCGAGACTTCCCAACAGCAGGAACTCATGAACCCTAGCAACATGTTAACAGGTTGCAGGATCAACCAAAAACGAGCGACCCGAGCTCTTAGTTCCAAAGACTCGTTGCGTTGTTGCTTGTTGCATCGGTTTCAGCGAACCAACGCGACGTCGGATCTGCTTCCACCAAGGCTTGTCGCACCGCGATCTGGGATGCCCCACCCGGAGCGTCTCATCGCCTGGCATCGGCTGCCACCGCGCGGGCTCAAAACGTGCCGAGGGACGAGATCGGTCGAAAAAAAAGCGCTGTAACTACAGCCCAAACGCTGGACGTTTTGGAAGTTGTCATGGTGGTTTGGACATGTGCTCACTTTTCTTGGTGACCGTGGATCATGACATGCCCAAATCAGGCCCCATACTGATGGGAACGGCAACAACATGATTTGCAGCAGCTGCTAGCAGTGGTCTCGACCAGGATGAATCGGATGGGGGTCTCCAGACGAGACCGCCCAGGCACGAAGCAAGTCAGTCGATGTGCTTCAGCCTTTCGAAGACGGTCTTTCTGAAGCCATCATGGGGTGGTCGATATGCCAAGCAAAAACAACATGTCAACCCATTTTCAGACGTGCTTCGTATCTTGGAAGAATTGGAAGATCGGTCCTCAAAGTAGAGACAAATGATGGCGGTTGACATTGAACTCCAGTAACAAAACACTAACTGGAGCGGTTCCCGGAACTTCACCACGTCACGTCGAACGCAGGGAAAAGGCAAGATCACTAGCTTCCTTTTCGGCCGCGCTCGTTTTCAACTGCAGCAGCTGGTCTTTGATCTCATGTGTTGGGGTTTCTGATTCTTGCATCTCTGGCCTTCAAGTCTCATCGGGACATCGGAGTAGCAATGGCTGGGTGCGTTAAAGCTGGAGAAACAGAAGCATCTCTTATGGACATTGGTATGTAGTACATGTTACCTGCTTGACGATGACCATACCTTTAGCATCCTTTAGCCTTTCTTGCATCTCTCGCTCGCAGAGCTTTGGCTTGCCAAGCATGCAAGTTCGAAAGACCCCTGGTGCTCTGCTCAGCCTGGAGGTTTCTCCAGGCGAGGTGTTTAGATGTTTGTGCACACGCACCTGGACAAGCATGGGAGAGGCACCAAGTTGGATTTGCCAGCACTGGACCAAACCAATAAGCCAAGTATGTCTGAATATGTCTAAAGAAACAAGAAATTCCTTTATACAAAAAAAGAAACTGTGACGTCAACTGCACAGCTGACGAGAGTTTAGTTGTTATCTCATATCACTATATAGTCACTGTTCATGTGGTCATTGCATTCTCTTCAGCCAGCCACCAGCCATCCTGAATTGATCTCCACATCCCAGGTCAAGCCCGCTCTATTTCTTCAGCTATGCGCTATGCTCAGCACTTAGCTCGTCATCTCTTTCAGCCACTGTCGTCCATCTTCCGGCATCTGGATCTTGCACTTGATGTACAAATCCCCCCCGGTCAGTGGGATCCTTGTGGGGCATGCCTGCCAAGAGCCCGGTGGTCTCCGGTTGTCCGGTGGAAGGCTGACTCGAGGACCGATTTGGCCATCACATTGCTTTCGAGAACATGTGTGTGTGTGTCCATGGACAATGAGAAGCTAGGTGGTTTCATAGACCCCTCCCTAATTTCATGGAAGACAAGCTGGAATTCCAACGAAAATCCACGATCATCCCATCGCATCCCATCATCCCCCACCCCGTGACTCACCCCACCGTTCTCTCTCTGATCTTCGTCTGCCGCCTTCCCCAGTGACCTTCATCACCGCAAAGGGCTTCGTGACGCCGTCGAAGGCCACCTGGAGCCTTCGCCCATCCAGGTGGACGATGCTCCGTTCGAAGCCCAGCAGAGCCTCCCGCAGTGACAGCGTCACCTCCTCGGTGAGGCCGGACAGAGCGGGCCATCCAAAGCAGCGGAAAAAAGTGGTCTTAGTCCCTAAGATCATCTAAGATCTGAGGTAGTTCTTGCGATGTGAACACTATATAGAGACAAAGAATATGAACATCATGCGGAAAACCGGTGTCCTGTTTGCCACATCACTCTTCGTGAAAGACAGGAAACAAAAACATTGCAGTCTCACTCCCGCCATTTTAATTTTTGGTTCAGCGGTGTCCTGCTTGCCACGTCTGTCCGGTAAGGCCAAGTCTCGGTGTGCAAATCAAAGCCGGCCCGTCTGAAAACGGCCTTAGAATGGACACTGTGCTTCGTTTCTTCACTCTTGTCACCCATCACACACATTTGGTGAAGCAAAAGGACTCCTTTTCGAGGAAAGTCATAGTGACACACCCGAAAAACTGGTCGATGAGTGCCTGAAGAAAGTCTGGAAGAAAAAGAAAACAACTTGCCGGAAGTAAAGTGTTCAGCGGCATGCTTGGCCTCCACAAATTTCACGATCACATCTCCTGAGAGCTAAAAGCACGCCCACGTGCACGGAACGTGCACAGCTAAGAGATGCTATAGGAGTTTGCCCGAGAGGGCCCGGGCGAAAACGATGAAACCCACATAGGCTACTTTTCAACGTGGACAGTCTGCAGATTGTGGTAGTTCCAAATCCATTTAGATGAAAGTCTCCTGAAGCCTCTCCACATCTCTCAAACAGTATGGGTCTTTGGCTGGCGCTCGGTTGAGTCCTATATGGTCCACCATGCTCCACCGGCGGTTCCAGGACCGCTCGCTGAACCAACCTCCGCCCCGCCCGGGAGGACGGGCCGTTGGCCGAGGGTCCAGGCACCTTCTTGGGCTGCTGCCCGCCACGGTGGGCAAAGATGACCGTGTCTCCCGCAGAGGCGCCCCGCTCCACGGCGATGGTCAACAAATGCTGCTGGGTACGGCACTTCTCTTTGGAAGGGACTTGGACCTGACAAAACCACGAGTCGAGTCGAAGCGCCTGAACCAGAGAGACATGAAGAGACACTCCTCCACACTCCACTCCAAAAAGAAAGCATCTGGTTGAATTATAATATGTGTGAGGTCGTGAATTGTAGATGAATAGTGGATTCTATGGACTCTTCTAGCTCTTGGAAGACTTGTTTCTGAAGACTTAAATCCACCGGCCAGCATCTTTCTTCCATGTTTGTTGGAATGTTCAAGGGTGGGCAGTCAGGCGAAAGGAATTGGTGTCTTTCTCTTGTCCCACGCTTGAAAACTGCAAAAAGAACAACAAACAAACATGAATTCACCTCACGTCTGTCACCTCTGTCACTTCATCCACCCCGGAATTCTTCACACTCCATCCGACACTCCCCCTCACCCATCAGATCTGGCCTGCTGTTGCATGATCATATTCCCCATCCTCACCTGTCTCATCTCGAACTCATCCGCGCAGCGCGTCTGGCACTTGCGACACCGCTCCGAGGCCACACCACGGGCGGCGGCCTCCGCGCAGCCGCGGCACACGAGGACGCGGGGCACCGCCGCTTGCAGCTCCTGGCCGTTGTACATCTGCTCCAGGGTCACGGTGACCTCCTGGGGAGCGAAGGACAACGGATCCCCAATCAGGACTAGGAGGAAGACGGCGAGATTGACCAGAAGTGACCTTTTCTTTCTAGATGGCACATCATGTGGAAAAGACCAAGAATCGTGGGGACTGGAGGGACACCAGGTAGCTTAGTTCGACTCACATGGATCATCAGAAGTCCACCCTGGGTGGTGTCTCCTCTCCTTTGCATTCAAAGGTCGTTCCACCCCGTTGAAGGTCGTTTCAGCTCGTTGGGTGGTTTGCCAACGGCGCTGCAACGCCTGACGCCTCAACAAGTTTCCTGTTCGCCTTCTTCATCTGGTCACAAGGAACAAAAAGGGGTGATGCTAATAGATGAAGGACAGCAGCATGTAAAACCTTGCGACAAAGACTTGCCGTTCTTTTTTGTGTTGTTGCGTGATGTTGCGCAGTCGACCCACCGCGTCAGACGCCCACCCGTCGCTATGCGGCGCCGAAGACCGGCGCCAACCCGAACAGCACCGTGTCGCCGGGCTGCAGAGGTCGTGGAGGGCGCTTTCTCTGCCTTGTTCCCAAGGAACTGGTAGAGCATCTGGAGACCTGAGAAGACCGGTGAAGACGGTGAGTTTTCCCCGAGCCGATTCGGAAAAAAACAAAACAAAACATGGAACAAATTCTGCTGGAGGTATCAAATATATGGCAAATAGTGGTCAATTCAAACCTACTGCTTGGGAGGTCTACTGCTTTTGAAGCCAATTCCAAAACCGCCAACACCTCAATCCATCTGAATCCTCTAAGTGAAAGGTTCTCTCCCCCTACCCCAACCATCCACATTCTCCCAGAAGTGCAGCTTTCAGACACCTGCGGAGTCGTAGATGGCTCGTTGACCCTCATCTCCCAGGATGTCGTACGCCTCGCGGATCTGCGCGAAGCGTGCCGTGAGGACCTCGAGCCGAGGAACCGCGACGGGCGGTCACGACGCAGGAGGTCGGGCGGCGACGCAGCGTGCGCGGCCAGCCGACGGTGGGCGGGACACGTGGTTCTTCAGGTCTTTGGTGCGTGGGTAGAAATTGATCATGAATGATGGTGTAGTAGTTAGATAGATGATTCTCTAAGGATGGGAGTGTGGACGATAGATGAAATGCACCAATGCACCATGCCCATGATTTTGAGCCTGAAGTGTTGCCTGGAATGAAAGGTGCAACATCAAAAAGCACGACGTGATGTGTACGGGCTAAATGTGGCCCAAGTATGAACAAATCTGATGTGGCCTGCCATTCACAACACAGCAAGGTAGATGTTCCCATCCCCATGCCCTTGGAAGTTTCGGCTTCTGTAACGCTCAAGAAACATATGTGTGAGTCTTAGTCTTAGCTCAAGCTCAGCTACTTCATTTAGAAGTGGAAGATCAGCTCATCAACGACCAGTCTTTGCAATTTCTTACAACTTGTTTGGGTGTATGTGGGCGTACTGCTCCTCTGTGGTTGCTGAATCAGATGTGATATAGTCCCGGTGATTCTCTTCTACCTCCAACACACATCGCCCACCCGTGTCACGGCACGTGTCACTGCACGTGTCACGACACATGTGTCGACTCTGCCACGTGGCCGGGTCATTCCGTGTCTTGTCAGGGTGATGAACTAAGGAAAGCTTCCGGAAAGCCTGCTTGATCTCCTGGGACCCATCGATGCCGGCCCTAAAAACCCATCGATACCGGCCGTCACAGGCGGTTTTCCGGTCTAAGAGTCACTCCCCCAGAAGCCCCGAAGCCTAGCCATGTTCCGTATGAACATGCCCACAGGAAAGAGGCTGTTTGATACGAAGAGCTCATGTCAAAAAAAACAACGGCAAACTACAACTGGTCAGGAGATGGTCCGCAGCTCTTATTTTCGTCGCTCATCGCTTGCGTCTCCGTGGCGTCTCCTTGTCGGAGGCGCCCTCATCCACGCCCAGCTCCTCATACAACGAGGCCTCGTTCCCGCACTCATCCTGGCAGGTGAAGGGCTCCGCCCATTCCTCAGCACCCGCACGTCCTCGTCCCATCAGACGCGGCCGTCAAACACGTCAGACGCAGAAGAAAGCCATGAGGGCACCCCAATGGAGGTGAGATACGGCTTAGCCGGACTGACATTGACATTCACCGGCCCCCCCGCAACCCAATGCATTCCTGTTTCAGACCATTACTGTATGACAAATACACTGGCTGGCTGGTGTCTTTTCACATACAGAACCAGCATCCACCATCCTCCACCCACCTCCCCTTCCAGCTCAATAGACACCCTCCAAGGCTCTCCATGTGTGCACCCTGGCTTCCGGATGACTCGTCCACCGCCACACTCGCAGTATCCGCTCGAGCGGCTGTCGATCAGCGCGCGGCAGGGCTGGTCTCGACCGGGCTCGCGGGCGCCGTCCGCGCTGCAGCCACCCGTCTGGCGCCACATGATGCACTTGTAGCGAGCAGCTTGGAGGCATTCCTGATGAGGTGGCTCAGAGTGGGGAAAACAAAGAGCGTGGCACTGTGCCACCCTGTAGTGACATAGTGCCTGCATCGGGCAGTGACTGGTCGTGTGAACAAAAAGTGGCATCATTGGTAGCGTCAACATGTTGATGGCCTCTTTTTAGGGTGGAGGGCGGAGGTACACCACTTATACATAAATGATGATATGTGCCTCGTCTATGCAGCTGTTGTCTTTCTGCATTATGTTAACAGAGCCGGTTGGGCATTCTGGGGATTGATTCTGAAGATATGGTCTCTGATAGAGACAAAGAGAGGCCTAGCTGTAGATGGGAAGTCGTGCGCACACAAATTCTGAGGGCAAAAACGAAGCTGTATAGGAATGATGTTACAGTAGTTCCAAATGCTTTCACTTCCGAGTTCTACAGCAGCTCCTCAAATTCAATTCTGGGCTCGAATGACCTACAAGTGGCGTTTCTGCTTTCCTTCGACTCTATACCAAAGGGCAGATCATCGGTTTATCCGGGATCGTGTCTCGACATTCCTCCAACCATGTTTCTTCACGACTCTTCTGACTTCTGCCCTTTCTTATCCTTTCTTCAAGACTTAAAACCCTTTCCTTTGCCTTCCGCCGCCTCAGCAGAACACCACCGTCCGGCGACCCCGGCGGTCCGGCTCCCAGCTGAGGCGCCGTGGCACAGCGGAAGGGGCGGTGGTCGCAGCTCACGCTGCGCGCGCGGAGCTTCTCGCTGCCGTCGCTGCACTGGCAGTAGCCGCTGCTGCCGATGCCGATCTCCTCCTCGCAGTCCTGTTGAGAGTGGAGGAGGGAATAGATAGATATCGGGATGGTGCTTGAGCTGCTTGAGGTGGTGGAGACCAAGAAGAGGGAAAACATCTAAAAACTGGGAAGAAGAAACCTCAAACCAAGTCCAAAGACATCATCTTCTAGAAACCATATGATCGACTCGTATCAACTAGCTCATATCAACTCCAAACGATCGTCCTCCTCCGTTCCGTCAAACTATACCCACTATAGTCACCCAAACCTGGCCGAACCACTCGCCCCAAGGGTTGCTTCCCCCTGTTCTCACCGAAAAAAAAGCGCCCTTCTCCTTGTCTCCGCTCTTCTCCCTGGTGCCCTTGGGATCGCAGCCCGCTGTCTGCCGCCACCGCACACACTGGATCGGCGCCCTCGTCGCGCAGGACGCGTCGCCGGCGGGGCAGGACTCGTCGCCGAGGGCGAGTCGAAGGGCTAGCGCCAGGGCCGGGAGCCAGGCCCTTTGGAACGACATCGGTCGTGTGACTCGTGCGACACACGAAGCTGTGTTTTTGGATGTGGTTGGCTTGGTTGAAGCGGGATGTGGAAATGGGGTGGGGGTGATCAGCTTGTGAGGTGTGGAAATGGCTGGTCGATCTTCAATGTGTGAAAGAAGCGGTCGATGTGTTTGAAGTTGAAAGGACTTACACACGCGATATACCGCTGTAGCTTTATTGCTCATGCAAAGGTTTAGCCATAGTAGACACTTGCTTTTGTAGCCGGTGCATGTGTCAAATAGAACCGTTGGAGCTTCTTTGGCTGTAGTTCGAAGAAGCATCAAGTGTTTGGAGTAGTTCTAGTCATTGCAAGTGCAGGAAGATAACATGCAGGGCAATCCAACCCTTGTGTCAACAGTTCATTGGAGCCGCTTGGGCCAAGAAAGCTCTGCTTTCTCGCATGTTCTTGGTGCATGGGGAGATGGTCAAAGCTCCTTCATGGCTGTTATCAGCATGTTCAATATATGCTTGGCTGCAGTTCGATTCTCATGATGGTTGGACCTTCTTGGATCTACTTCCTACTTTTGCTGGACGCATCAACAAGATTTGACAGATGATACACTGGTTCCTTGCTCTTGAAGTCCTTGCGCAGGGTTGGGAAAATCAAACTGCGCTTGAACCCAGACATGTCGCCGCTCGAACACTCTCACGGTTATTGGCCTTGGGTCCTTAGGTGTTGCCTTCAAGAGGCTGCCCGCACCAAAACACTGGGGAAGCTGATCAGTACATTGGCTGAAGCTGCAGATTTGGTGCTGAAACCCTTCCATTTCTTCACAAAACAACGGCACTCAGGGACAGTCACACAACCACAAATAGAAAACACAATGGGAATCAAGTAGCTTTCTCAGGTGCCGGATTCTCTTCAGTGGCCATATGCATCGTGACACACATGTTCCTTGCGGGAGCCCTGCATGTCTGTGTGGTTGTCTTGACTCGTTAAGAAATGCAGATCAAACAATAAACCAAGAGGATGTACCAGTTTGTATATTAAACTAATTTTGCAATTACAGTATATTCAAAGTTGCAATGAGATGTACAGAGATTTCACCATGATCCATTCATTACATTCCAGCCCAATCTGGGCAGATCGTCATGTGTCCAAACCATTTTTCATCAGGCAGATCAGGCTCCCCTGGCCCCCATACCCATTTAGACTGTCTTCTCGAGGTGCTTCAAGGATGTTCTTGCTCATCAAGTACCCCCATCTTTTCAGAAAGCTGCTCCAGCCTGGCCTTCATCCACTGGAGCTAGCCCCCCCAAAAAAGAAACGAACAAGAAGACCCAAAAGGACCTGCAGTTCTGATGCTCACATTCTTCCATCCAAAAAATCCACCCCACCTCTGCCAAAGCCCTGCCACCCGTCTCCTCTCAGCTCCGGTCTCCGCCTCGAGCACCGTGTCCAGACCATCGATGGCTCCCAGAGCCCACATCGCCGCCTGGCTTCGCTGTTCCAGTGCCCCCGAAGGGGCATGAAGCCGTCCACGCGAGCGACAACAATTGAAACAAAAGATTGGGGAGATATTACCACCTTTCCTGCATGGTCTTTCAACTTCTAGCCAATAGAATCCGCCGACTATACACTGTACACCATATACATCCATATACTATACTACTTACTACTATACCAAATAGGGTGGCCTTCCAAATCATCTTCCTACCAACTCTGCCCACCTCCCGTTCAACCCGAAAACCGGTCGGAAAACCGCCTCTGCATCGGCCCCATCGCCTTGAAGGCCCTCCTGAACAGCGACCAAGACGGGGAAGTTGGAACCCCAAACACTTGATCTGCCCAGGCCCAGGGGTTGAGAGGCCGGCAGTTTGGGTCTTGGAAATCGGCCAAAGTTAAGTGTTTTGAACAAACAGTGGCTGCAGTTGGTCATATCGATGTTATGGTCGTCAAACCGATGCTCAAAAAGCTTGACCGGGCGCAAACCCCTGGGAGTGGTGATGTGCCCAATTGCCGAGTTCCGAACGGTGTAGAACATGTCTGGTGCTGGTGGGTGTAGCCTAGCAGACTGCTAGAGTTCCGAACGGTGTCACCATTGGTGTAACTAGCACGTTCATTCTCTACCAGGACACCCTACCAGGTGTGTCTGTTTTTTTTCGCCCCTTAGCAGTTAAGGGGTGTCCATTTGCCACCCCGAAACTGGAGGTCCTGGTACTGTCATCCTACCGAACGAACGTTCCCTCATGATCCATCATCGATCCCGGTTGGGGCGTCCCGGTCTATCCTTCATGAGAGCTTCGGAGGCTCCCGCTGAACGGAAGGCCTGGCCCAACACGCGCGGCTGGGCGCGAAGTGTTGAGGTGAGACCAAGTGGAGCAAAAGTGGATCTGGAAGGATGGGTCGTGTATACTACTACTACTACTACTACTACTACTACTACTACTACTACTACTACTACTACTACTACTACTACTACTACTACTACTACTACTACTAGGTCAGATGTGTGCAGAGGAAAATGCAGCTCAGATCTATACATGTTGTTCTTTTTGGGGAAAACATGTGAAAAAGTGACATCCTTTGCTGGGAGCATGAAAGGCCATCAAAAAGAGTGGAATTGAACCTTGTTCCTCAGGGCCATCAGAAAGGTCCTGATAGACTCACACTGCACCCTTCAGGTGATGAGTCGGAATTTTTTAATGGGCAGCTTTGAGAAAACCAGCTGATAGACTCTGATAGACTTGAACACAACCTAATGACGAGCTCGTGGTACCGCATCCACCGCCGCAAGCCTACCAAATGTCTGGCATCTCCTCTGGCGATTGCGTCGCTGATGTTGGGATCTGGTGCTTTCCAGCCCCAGGGCGTCCCAAACCTCTCCTCGCTCTGAGCTCACCGCCACGTCCCGCGGTGGGCTCCGACCCCTACCCGCTGGACCACCCGGTGGCTCCGCACCTGCACAGCCTCGGGCGAGGCATCGGCCAGGCAGACCATCAACGAGGCGATGGCCTTGCGGAGGTCCTCGGAGGGCGGGTGGAGGGACCGGGAGTTCCGGTGGTTCTTCTGACGCAGAAATGATGACAGTACAGCTTGGAGGCCCAGCTTGGCCCAACTTAAGATGCGAAGTAGGAAGGTCTTTGGAATGAGAGACTTGCTGATGTGACACACAAGTTGGAGATCCTTTTTGAGGATGTCCCCCGCTGGAGAGGTCGAGATCTGATAACTATCTCGCAGATGTGAGACTCAGATTCCTTGCAAAAATGGATGAATGTGAGATGTGCTGGGACGCCTTCTTTGATCTGTCTGGGGAGACTCAGGGACACCGGATGACGACCAAGAACCACGTACCTGGCAAAGCGCATCTCAAACTTCGGCTCAACAAAGCCACTAGGCAAAACCTGCGAAAAGTCCTATGGACGAGTCAGTTTAGAACAAAAGTCCTGCACGACGGAGTTGGTCAAAAACTCTGAACCCCTGTAGTGCCAACAGGCATTCAACATTTGAGGGTTCCAATGTTGCATCCTCCATCATTTGCCCGAGAAAGGCACCTGACGCATCTACAAGCTCTTAGGAATACAACACAGTAAAGCCGTGTCAGAAGACCTGGAGACCAAAACAACACTTGAAGACTGCTGAAATTGAACACCAGATCAGGAATGGATACCCTCCTTCCACTACCCCAGCCACCTATGGTTGCTTTTGCGGAAAGCTCTCCACCACCCGCGGTCGCCGTCGCCCGCGCCGGTCGCCAGTGGGTCCTGGGCCTCTTGTCCACTGGCCGCTGAGGAGCGCAACATCTGCACGAGCAGGAGGGAGCCTGCCATCGTCATCCACCCATGGACTTTCGGGCAAAACATATATATGACGGCGTGGTGGAAGATCTCTTAGGGGATCGGACACAAAAAAAAGATAGAAAAAACACCTAACAACATCCAAGTGGTTCCGGCGCAAAGAGCTGAAAGGGTGTTTGGGGGGGGTCAGTGAAGACTCCCATGAAGGAAGTTCCTTGGCTCTGGCAGGGGACTTGGCATGGACTTCTGCTTTTCCAAAAACAAAAGGATGTCTCTGTGTGGATTATCAATCTCCTCCTTGGAGCGAATTCCAAGTGTAAGGGGTTGGGGGGAGGATGATGGGGGAGGGTCTTCACTGGCGCCCAGTGAGACTCATACATAGACCAATCACAACAGGACGCATGTTGGGGTGGTGAAGGCTGCGCTGGCTTCCATTGGAAGCCTTTGGACGCTCAGACTCTCTACAACACAGCCATCTCAAGAGGTGTTGAAGAGCTGAACTCAAATGAAATCAACAAGACAGTTGAGGCACCCTCAAGCATTTCATTGGGAACATCCAAGGACATGGAAGATAAAACAAAGCAGCCACTGGGAGCAAATTCTGGCGCTTTGCGCAAGGAGCGCAGCACGGGTCAAGATACAAAGACACAACACACGTGGCTTGGTAGGTTGCTTTAATACATAGATGTTGGCAAGCTTTGTTCTGTGCAAAACATGTTCAAAGAAAGAACAGTGAAACCCAACAACTCATATGCTGCATTCCCCTGCATATCCTCAGGTACAAGATTGCCGGGTCCGGCTATTTGTGCCAATCGCCCAGAAGATCAGCGAATCGGCGCAGCTGTTCTTTTCAACTCCACAGAGGGGCGACCAGAACGCCCCCCCCCCGCCCAAGCCGAGCTGACGAAGACATCTGGCTCAGGTGGGGTGAAACGTGCGAAGGAGCTCGGTGTGGAGAATCTTTGTCCCTTCATGGTCCAATTCAACAACGCAAACTTGACACCAACTTACGGTGAGTGTTTTTGTCAATGGTGAGTTCTTGTCAACAAGCCAAGATTCAGACGTAGTCATTTTGATGTGTTATTTAATGGCATGTCATGGCAAACAAACACCTTTGGAATCTTTTGGAATGGCAAGATCCAATCCAAATAGCACTTCTTTCTTCTGCTCTGTCCACCTCTTCTGGAGCTCAGCATCTGCTGCTGCAGCACCTCTGCCACCTGCCCTCAGATCACGAATCCAGCAGCCTGGCAGGCTGAAGTGAACCTAAAAGGGCCTTGTGCCGGGCTTGCAAATCAAACTTTTTGGGAGTTCCACGATCTTCACATCCCCTGCGTGAGGGATGTGAATAAGGGCCAGAAATCAAGCAGCCTGACCGGCTGAGCATATCCAACAAAAAATCCCACCCTCCTGAGGGAGAGATCTCTGGAGCGAACATGAACATGGTCCTCCTTATGCTCGTTCGCTCCGGTCGGCAAGAGAGGCAAATCCTCAAAGGAACGACCCACGGGTGTTCTGTTCCACGATTGCGACAGTCCGACAGTGGGACATGGGATACAGATCAAACACCCAAGCAAGTTCCCTGCATTCCCATTCAAAAGAAAGAATGTTAAAAAACTCTTCTGGATCCCCACCATGCAGTTGGATGAAGAGCTCCTACACCATCCAGCTGACCTCCAATACACCTTCGAGCTTGCAGACCTGCTGACCCAATCGCCTTGAGACGTGCGGAGACGCTGCTTGGCTTCTCCTCCTGGCTGAAGGCTGCTGAGCTGGATTCATCCGAGCGCAAGGTCAGCAGGTGAAAAGGTGAGTTGCGCGCGGGGTCAGCTCGTGTGTCAAGGTGTATCATGGTGCATCTATAATATCTACAAGTGAAAAAAGTGCTGAGAACATAGACACCATATATAGACACCATGACATGGGCAAAAAATGTTTGTCATTCCACACATTCTTTCCTCCGTCTCTTGACAACTCCCTGGTGCAAAGAGAGAGCTCTCTCAGCCGGATCCTTGTCACCCTGACGGGCGGCCTTTACCTTTGATTCAGACAAAAAAAATACAAATACACTTGCAGCAACTCTGAAGACCACTGCACAAGCAGTCCTGTGGCGCCTGCGTCATTGAACGTGCCTCAAAGCTGCGTCATTGAGAATGAATAGATCGAAGATCATTGAATCTGAAGTACTCTTCTCTCTGCGCTCTCTGCCCTTGTCCAACCACTGGACTTTGAACCCCAGACCTCCAAACACCGAAACCCGCTTGGCGATCCACCTAGAACCCAATCCCTTTCCCACCATCCCCTAGTCCATCGTGCGTCGGTCCGTGGGGGCCGGGCATCCAGGTGGCCCGATCGCGTGCGCCGCGAGGGAGAGACCTCCACAGACCGAGCAGACCGAGCAGACCGAGTGCTCGGGTCAGCATCCAGTGGAGGGCTTCTCGGATGCTTTGGGATGGGTGACGCCTTCCACCCCCGAAGACGCCTTTAACAAAAAAAACGACCAAGTGGTCACGGTTTTTCAGGTGGGCTGGGTTGCCAGGCAAAACAATGCTGTTGTTTGGTTTCAAGACGATTAAATCAATGGTGGTTGGAGTTCTAGGGTTCATTAAACAAAAACATATTTAAAGAGCGATCAGTGCTTTAAATGTTGCATTCTTGGATTTCTATCGAACACACATTGCATTTACAACTGATCTGAAACCATTGATTGATCCTGGTCCGTCTCAAGTCTAAAGCCTATAGCCAGGCTACAGACCTTCGAGCCATGAACCCCTCAGTTTCACACCTTTCCGAAGACCATTGTTGTTTCAGATGAAGACATATACCCCTTTTCAACACAGAAAACAGAATCAACGAATGTCTAACAGTTGTGACTTGTGACAGAACATCCAGAACTAAGTCGAATCATTGAACAAACATCAGCTCTTTCTGGTCCTTTCTGGTCCTTAAGCCTCCACCGAAACAGCTCCAGAGCGGGACCAGGTCCCCCGGACGGGTGGGCCCTCGGTGGGTGATGCGTTCGGCGAGGAGAGCTCTCCGAGCTCCTGAGGGAGACGAGGAGAGCTCGGTGTCCAAGAGAAAAAGGAAGGAGACGCGGGAGACCCCCAAATGGGATATATGATCTTGATAGAATTACATATATATATATTATGGATATATGATAGAACACAATGATAAAACATATACTAAATATAGCTGAAAATCGTATGACCAATCACAGAACGTAACAATCTGTGAGCAACATGCGACAAAGCATAAGATAAACAACAAAATCACAGAACTTCCATTGACAAATCATAATATAAAAGCACACCGCACCAAAGCACAAATAGCACAGAGTTTACACCTGGTTTGGGGGAAGCGTTCGGAACCTTCGTATGGAGCTGCGGGGGTTCTTGGCGATCTCATCTTGAGGCACTGACTTGGCCAACCCAGGTGATTGCTTCTTCCGCCCTGCTTGAAATGGATTCTGAACCGCAAGGCATGCGGCATATGTTCACAGATTCTCCCGGGAACCGGGAGTGCATGACTGTATGGGAAACCGACACATCGCCTGCTTGGCGACCTTCACCAGGCCCCGGTGGGGTCGAGGAGCGGTGAGGCGGAGAGGACCGGAGCACCCTCTTGGAGTGCACGGTATCTTTTTGTGAGGTATATTGAATGAATGCAGCAACAGTTCTGAGTATCTTGAGTACCAAGGACACGAGATAGAATGTACAGGAAGCAAACCAAGAACAGCTTGTCTTCCATATAGTTATACCAGGCCCCAGGCATATACTATGCAGGTCCTATAGTGTCAATAAAAAAATTGAATTGCATTTGTTTATTGATGTCAGTCCTTTCTTCTGTAGACTCATCATGACTCACCAACAAATATTGAGCACTTGCGGTGCCGCGGTCCTGTGTCACTGCTCGCGCCTTAGGTCTGAGCAAAAGAAAGGGAGGTCACACAAAATGGCATCCTGTTGCGCTGAGCGTTGCTGAGTCTTGCCCTGAAAATCCTTGGCTGGGTTGTGGCCTAAATTCGTTGTAAGACACACTCAATTCCAAGGGTTTGACTTTTTGTCTTGTAGGCCACAACTTGAACTCTTGAGTGAGATTGAATCTTAGTTCAAGCGTTGTAGGCCACAACTTCACCAGATTGAACCTCTTGAGCGAAAACAACCTCTCGGAGCCCCCGGCATTCAAGTGCCCCGAGCGCCACATGCCCCGCCGCGAGGGGGACACGGCCTCGGTGGAGCTGCATGAGTCACCAACGGACGCCCCTACACTACTTAGGGATCTCCAGACAGGACACCCCTTGAAGGTCCAGGGACTCTTGATGAACCATCCCCCCTTATGAAGAGGAAGTTCAATTCAGTTGGGTGGGTTTATTCGGAGGTCGTTCGCTACATGGTGGACCGGACGGGCTGAAGATACTACCATGACCCATCCCCAAATCAAGAAACATTCGCCAAACCAAATTGGGACATCGCATCTTAGAGATCGCACGCGTCGTTGCTGAAGTAAACGATGGGTGTTGATAAACATCAGGAGACCAGGAGGACTTTGACCCTGAAGGTTTGGGCTCAACGCAAAGATCTGAACGAGAAATACTTCTGGTCTGAGGGTCGGTTCTTCAACGTTCGCACGGTCAGCACGGTTGCTTGTACTTGTTTGGTATAGTTCCAATTTGCATCAACTACTGGGTGCAAATGTGCCAACATACTACTATAGTCTGTGAAATTGTCCATATGTGTCTAAAGTACATGTGGTGAATGGAGAAATAGATTGAAAGTGAAAAGCCACAAAGGCTACTAGGAACCGGTGCAGGAAACGGCAAGTAAAAAACATCCTCCCAAAGTCCCAAAAACCATGGGCTTTACATGGTTTTACTGTATGAATTGTTCTTTTTCTCCACTCTTTCTCAGACTACACACCGGCCTGGTCCTCACATCGAATCGTCCCAAAAACCCTTCCAGTCGCTATAGATTTCGTCCCTGGGCGCCCCGAACGGGGCCCATGGCCTCGCGCCCCTCACGTGCGCTCCCTTGAGTCAGCACCTGACGGAGATCAAGGAATCGCAGGACGTGAGGAGAACCTCCCACCATCACATCGCAGCATCCGGAGAGTTTCGATGTTTCGGAGGTCTCATCCATGTGTGGGGAAATTCGGATCAATTCGTTTAATAAGTTTGTCACATGGAGGACTTGAACATATCAGGCTTTCGTCATGGAAATCATCATGAAATCATCAGCTTTCACGATGTTTCACACATCATGTGGGGGACATTCACCTCCGTGTGGGACCCCGAAGTGGAACTCTGCGATTCTCCCACACATCGTGGCTCGTCCAAGGGTGGGTGACCTGGTTGGGGCCCAGTCGTTGTGCGTATCAAGAGCCATGGCATGTTCCATGGGAACGTCTGGAGAGTAGCATGGCGTCGTCTCATTCTTCATCGACATCCATGTTCCGGAGCGGATCGAGATCCTTCGGCTTCCAACACAAACAGCTTCAAAACAGGAAAAAGCCAAGGAACCGAGGAACCACCACTTAGGCTTTCCAGACTCCTAAGGTCTCACAACAAGTCAAGTCTGTATTTCCTTTTACTGCGAATCGAACCAGTTGGCTTTGAGCACCACGCCGGGAAAAGCTCCCCAAACGTGCGGCCCCGAAGGGCTGCATCTCTCTGACGCGCGCCGACCTGCTGCATCTTTGGGCTGTCAGGAGTCTTCTTTGGGCTCTCCGGGATCTGCGCGGGCAGAGCGCAAATCCCGCGGAGGACCCCGATTGGACGGCGTTGGTGTTTTTTTCGATGTTTTGAAAACGAAACACATCGACCAGGAGCCACCAATAAGGGGTGTTTCTGGTCTTGTCACTGAGTGAGTGGATGTTCTGGGCACGCTGATCCTCCAAGTTTGTGCACCCTATTTTGGAACTGCGAACGGAGCTAAAGACTATATATATCCTTGTGCAACGACACTTCAAATACCAGAACCTACACAACTGACTGCATCTCTGGCATCTTGAGCGGGTGTGCATTTCATGAGGCACATGTTTACCCAATCATGGCTTTGACATGCCTTGACTGTCCACTAAAGAAGGTAAACAACAAAAAAAACATGCAAACACAACGAGTGAAGGCGGCCCAAGCCCAAGCGTTTCTTGGATCTATACTGAGTCAACTTGCGGCACTTGCATGGAACCTGGTAGAGAAGTCAAGACGTTCTTCTGCAATGCCTAACCATTACCAGCGGAGGTGGTGTTCACCGTTCACCCAGTCTTGTTCGGCCCACCTGCGCGGGCAAGGAAAGGAACGGCTGATTGGCCTCGGAGATGGCCGCAAACGGGCGCTTTGGTCGCCCAACAAAAACCGCGTGCTTCTGTGTAAATGTGTTGTTTCTCTTGAGAGGTTGTTGGAATCTATTGATCCAAACATAGACCGGGAGCCCGTTGACATCCCTTATAGAGGAATCTGTTAATTTTCAGCGGTCAACCAGGGTTTTGGGGTTTTGACCCACAGCCATATCCAAACATTCTGGTGCACCTGGTAGATCATACACTTGCGGTCAGCTCCGCGGAGAAGCTACGTGTTCAATGTGGATCTAAGGCATGAGCCATATTGGCCTCAATGGAGAATTTCCAGTGGATGTGATCAAAGCCACTCGAGGAGGATTTGGAGCAAGTCATGAAAGACTTAAGAGTCACAATAAACCACTTACTTGGGTGGTCATGCCATAGAAACCAAAGCTTCTTGAGGGATCTCTTCATCTCTACCACGTCCCCGGCATCCGTATTTTTTTCACCTCAGCAACCACCTTCCCCACCCAAAACCTCCAGGTTTCGTTCGCCACACGCTGACACATTTGGACACATGGATCAAAGACTTCTTTAGGAGAGGTGCCCATACCAAGAGATCAGAGTGGTTCGTTTTTGGTTGAACCTACCATGCCGTTTTTCGGACCCGTCACCTGGGGAACCTACCCAACTGGCACCGTTGGTGGCGCCACACCGATCTGTGGGGCCCCCACATAGGACGTCCGGGTGGGGATGGCCTGGCTGATAGAGATGGACGAAAACAGGACCAGCCGGACCAGCTGGGTCAGGGCTGATGGAGATGAAAACCACTCCTGGACCGTTCTGAGCAGAAAAAAAAGAGGTAAGACAATAAAGCTCTCTCTTCATTGTCCATCTCTCTTCTCTAGACCCTGAAGCCCTTCGCGGCAAGAAGATTCGGGCAGAAAATGCAGGTCATCCAAACTTTAAGTTGGACTTGAGGTCGCCTCAAACAGTTCTTTGCTGCAACATGGGTCCCCACAAAGAACATCAAAGAACCTTTCAAAGAGCCCCACGCAAGGTTGGCCCCAAAATGTCTCCATTGCAAGCACCTAACCCAAATGCTTGCTCCATGTTGCTGAAGCTGCTTCTTCCCCCCAAGGACTGGGCCATAGCTGCCATAGCTTTGGTTGGTGGACTCTACATCTACGCCTTCCGGTTCTGTTTCAGAGGGGCCATTCGATAGCGCTTCCCTCGGCCTTCGGACAGCGTCGACCCGTTTCTGCCCTGAGCAGCAGACACTCCATCGATCGGTCGATCGTGGCGATGGGGACGTTCGCCACCTGTTTGGTATTCGGAAAAAAAGGGGTCATCCACCATTTTCGATCGCCCTTTTTCCACCCATTGTTCCGGGGAGTGTAACCATGTGTAAAACCGCTTTTGGACCCCTTCAGCCTCCCCAACCGGTCATAAACGCGGGCCTGTGGAGGTAAGGAGACGGCCGCAGGTCTTTGCACCGGGGACTGAGCAGCAGTGAACATGGAGATTTGCTGATAACACTCACTGAAACACTCAGCGCAGAATCGATGGAAACTCTCATACTACCCATGCCATGCGCGCCCAATCGATGGATGGCAACTTCACACCGGGCTGGCCAAACGCTGAATCGATTTGGTGGGTTTTCCAATTGAACAGTCCTGAGGGCCATGACGTACAGGGGAGACCCGGCAGCCGGAGCAGGAGGTGAAGGATTGAGGGCCTCAACTGCGTTGAAAAGCCGCGTGAGGCAAAAGGCAAACAATACGGAACTAAGACATGCAGGCTTTTGGGGTTGTGGGGACTTTTCATTATGTTCATCCATAATTCCAAAGGGAATTATCAACTGTGGATTGTATTGGTCACTTGATTTACTGTGCAACACAAATGGAACAAGCCGTTACATAAGACATGAACAAAAACACATAAGCTGAACAACTCCGCCGCTTTTCTCCAAGTCCCCTCCAGACTTGGCACTTCACAGGAGGTGGAGAGGTGGTCTTTTGCGACCTGCCAAGCACAGACATCGCACATTCAGCATCAAATCTGCTGTGATATGCTGAGACGAAGCTGTGGAACTTGTGGAACTATTTTCAGGAAGTGCACTTTTTTGCAGTGGATTCTTGGCACAAGTTACCCCAAGTGACAGGTGGTTTATATGGGTCCCCATAGATTAAAGAAAATCTTGGGGTGCCAGTGCCATTTCTCACCGATGGCCCACTGTGTTTTTGGGATCCCCTAAGTTACGACCATTCTATTCACGTTCGCGGCGCCGCGACGCCTCATGTGCCACCGAGCTAACCCGCCTCACCGAGCCCAGCGGAGCTTGCGGATGTAGGGAGCCCAGCATGGGGCCGCCGTGGCCAACGTGGCCGAGGCTGGCACCCATGCTGCCTACGTCAGGGTCGGCTCGTGACAGGGCGATGACAGTGGAGGGCGACGGCGGAGGGTTTTTTGGCACAAAGAAGAGCGGCTGGGTTTGGAGGGTTCATGAGGGTTTAGAGGTTCAAGCCGGGAAGAAGGTGTGTTGTGAAAACCTTTGTCAGCCTGATATTTTGGAGGTTGCAGTTGCTCCATATATCCATATATATATGTCACCATCTTGTGCTGCGACCATCACCTGTCAAAGTTTCTTGTGGTTCGTTTTTGCAGCACAGTGCACCTTTGACTCCACAAAGTACCTGGCCTCACTGGTCCCATCGAGATCGAACTTGGACAAACCATGTGGTCTGGACTGTAGGCATTCCCTCCCATTCTCTAAGCCGAATATCATCATGGGGGATCATCAATGATGTCATGAGAAGCCCAGGACATGGACCAAAATTGTCATGTTGTGCTCCTCCCAGCACGGCAGAACTAAACTAAACAGCACCTTCGAAGAATTGTCCTGGTTCCTTTTCATCTGACTGGGGACGAGTCCTCAGTAGAAAATACCCCCCCCGGAATGTGAAGATCTGCGAAGCACACCAATCTCTTGTGATGTATACCGTTTCGTGCACATACACCACGTGCGCCTGCCCACTCCATCCACCAGCTTCCTGGCCTTCGTTGCCCTGAAGCATCAGGCTGCTGCCTGAAGCAAGCAAAGCGGACATTGGATCTCACTGTCTCACCTATCCCCTCAGTGGTTCTGCTATGTCCCTTGACCAAACCTTGGCCAATGAAAACCAAATGCTATGTGACCCACGGGCCGCTGGAGAGTGGCATTTGGAATCTATGTAAGAGAGTGGCTGTTCGCAACCCTGGCACCCTGTTGATGGGGTACGAAAAATTTGTGATCTGGCAGCTTGGGGTACTCCTTTCAGAATCGCCAAGGTCCCCCTCCTTCCCCACCCAAATCCGTCCAAAATCTGCTGAACCTTCAGCCGCCGAAACCAAAAACCTGCACCCCACCCTTCGGACGATCACTTCCTTCGGACCTTCCCCACACACCACAAAGCTCTCGCGTTCCTAAACCCCTCTCCCCGACCAACCTGGAAACCGGGTTTGGCCGTCCCAGGTGCGACTGGAGATGGGCAGCAGCAACGGCTGCATCGGCGCCATGGGCACGACGTGCGTGGCCTTGGTGGACCCGTGACGCTGGAGGCGGGCCGGCGGAGGTTTGGGAAGTCCATTCGGCTTGCGTCTTCATGAGAAAAGGGACAGTTAACACATGTTGGAGGTTTTTTCTCCTGCCAAAGTAGACTAACAGAGTATACGGATTTGTTCTGTTGAAGAGAATTACAGAATCTTATATGACAAGAAAGGCCAGAAATTGAGGATGCCTTCACCTCTCGTTCAACTGTGGGAGATAAATTGTGTTGCAAAAAGCCAGTTTGTTCGACTGTATTTCCTCCACTCCCGGTCTGAGAAATGCTTTTAAGAAATCATAAGGAAACTTAAGAACAGGGTACGCTTTGAGGTCAAAAAGAACACCACCGGAACAAACAGGTTCCCGCATATAACGAAGAAACATACAACGCGCTTCGAGACACATGATCGATTTCCAGGGAGTTCATATCTTCATTTCTGCAGCCAAGTAGGCTCACCCAAAACAAATCCTTTTAATTTCTAATAGCTTCTTGTTACTACTAGTAAGGCACTTGTTACTACTAGCGTGGCACCTGCTACTAGTAGTAACAAGAAGCTAGTATATACGGATCGGCCTCTCCTCTCTCACCAAGCTCGTGCCTGTCGTGCGGCCATGGGCGACATGCTCATTGAAGAGGGCCTGATGAGGCGGAAACCGCACCACGTCGTGGGTCGGTCGCTGCTTCTTTTTGTTCGCTCAAGTTAAACCGAAGCAAGTTAAACCAGCCCAAGTTAGCCTAAGGTGCCAAGCACCATCAAGCGATAGCGCGAAGAAACGCGATCGGTTTAAACACTTAGGGTTTGTTTCGGCTCCTTACCAGCTTTGTGTGCATTCCTATGGGAATCTCTCTCATGAGGGTTGAAAGCTGGCATGTCTTAAGTCCAAGGGACGACATCTCCATGGCCTTGCTCTTTTGAATGGCCTCAGATCACAGAAATTCGGCCAAACCCACCAACAGCCGGCCAAAACCAGGTCGTCCCAGTCAAACAAAAGCAGTGACCGCTGTCAGCGCCGAAGGCGCGACAAACGTCGCTCTGTGCTCACTGCCAACGGAGAAGTGGCACACGTCCGAAGGCGTTTCTGGAAAAACCTATTTGTGATCCAGAAACTCTTTAGGACTCAAAGAAGTTCTCAAGACCCTCATGGGCCACAAGCCACAGACGAACAGGGCCAACTTAGGCATCTGTCCACCGCTGTCACTTGCCATTCACGCGTGGATTCGACCTCTCCGTCTATCTCCGGTAGCTGCCACCTCGCTGCACCTGACCCGGGCAGCTGCCAAGGTGCTGCATGCAGCTCCTCCTTGGACAGCACTCCATCACCATCCTGGCCGAAGGACACGGCGTGTGGAGCGCGAAGAAGGCAACGAAACCCGGATCTCATCTACTATCTCTTCAAGTCAAGCACCCACAATCCCTCTCCATTCCCCCTCTATTCCCTGCTACCCGGAGCCCTTATTTGAAACCACACACTCTCTCATTGGTATGTTCAACCTCCCCAAAAAAGAGAACCGTCCCAAGGAATTTGAAGGAATCCGATCTGAGAGGCTTGAGAGGCCAAAAACAAGGCCGTCATAGATCTCTCTTCCCCCAATGACACCACATCGCTGCTATCGCCGTACAAACATGTTGTGGTTGATCAACATTCCTTCTTGCTGAAAGGCCCTTCTTCACCAATCAAAAAGTCTATTGTTCGATCGACGCCCATGTACCAACCGGCACCGGCACCGGCACCCGCGGCCGCGGCGCTCGAGCGGCACCTTGTCCAGCATATCGAAGAGATCCGGCTGAGCCGCAGGGCCCAAGGTGTCCGTCCCGGTCACACCTGCCGGTCCGAGGGCAAAGCTCCGGCTGAGCAGGGGGGACGAGGAGGTGGGGACGAGGAGGTGAGGGTCATTGGATTCTTTAAAGGACGATGATGTGGATGTGATGTCGATGTGATATGATGACCAATGATGTGTGACCATAGACTTGCCTGTGGGACACCTAATTACAAACCTGTTGCGCTAAAAGAGGAAACTGCTCCAGCTTTTGGCACCGAGATACTGCCAAAGGTGACTTTGGGAAACCAGCAAACCTAAGACCAATACGATCTAATACTCTAGGCTTTTCGAGATGCTCATCCGAGAGTCAGTGTCTTTCCCCAAAAGGGAAGTACTTTTGTGATCCCCCCTTACTTGTGGCATATCGGCTGAGACATTGCATTTTATAGAGAATGATGTCTATGAAATAGAGACACATGTATGGAGGATCTGAAATGTGCTAATGTTCTTCAAGTCGCTTCAAGTGATAAAATCCCACCATTCACCTTTTCCATCCAGGGCAGTTCTCTCCGAACGTCAAACCCGTTCTATTTGTAAAGCAAGAGAACGCGCGGACCAACAGAACGTATTGGTCTTCTTTGGTTTGGGGTCGCAGCTGCACATGGCCTCTATATCAGCTTCTGCCGCCTCTTCACACCATTGCTAGGGGGGCCAAAAGAAAAACATCCACTCCCAGTGGATTTCTACCTGAGTTTTTGATGAGATATTTCTGATACGGAATGTGTATCCTCCCCATTCCACCCTCCACACTGCCCAGCCACCCTCCCTCCACACGTTGTGGCGCGCCTACAGTGCCATAGCCATAGGCCTCGTCGATCCACCAAGGCCTCACAGCTCGACGAAGCGCTCGACGTTCATCGGGTCGGTGAGGGAGCCGGCACTATCAGCTCTATGCACGACGCACGATCAGCTCTATGCTCTACTGCATCAGTTGGATTCGGTATGTTCCAAAGAAAATACCATTTGTAATGGAGGCGAATCTGCAAAAAAAACATTAAGTTAAATATCATAACTTTTCGCTGAATTTTCACTGATCCTATGATCGTATAATAACTGGCTTCGATACTTATCGTATATGATCTATAATGGACGCCTTGACTAAAATGGGTTGTGAAGGGTAGAGACGTGTGAAGATGGACCCCCCCAAAAGTGACCCCTGCTCCACACACTTTGTGTGATACGGTGCCTTCCATGAAACGGTGTCTGACATGGATTATCTGTCTTGGAAGGTCTGAACATCGTCGGGTCGCTCCCGTCGGGTCCGGCCCCAGACCTGAGGTCGGCGAGGTCGGCGAAGCGGGACCCGGCCTCTCTGGAGGTAGACCATCCCAAGGTCGACAATGGACCATCAAGTGGCCTTGACCATGGCCTTGTTTGAGAGCTAATGGACACCTGAGCTGATGACTTATGATGCATTTTTGTCAGAAGAGCTCTAAATCATGTCAATGCGGCCTGTTCTTTTGAATAGATTGTGTTTTAACACCTACTGTAATGAGTTCATAGATGATGATGCCGATGCTTTTCTTTTGCTTTGCACCTGTGGCAGGTCGAGTTGCTTTAAAACTGTAGCGCCATCATGCATCGCCTGTTTGATGAGCTTCATGAGCTTCCCCTAATGTAGACTCGTCATTATATAGAAATTAGAGTCCTTCCATTTAGATTCTAAAACCTCTTGTTCTAAAAAGTTTTAAGAATCAACAGTCGACATGAATCAAGAACCCCTTCTCTCTTAAGGTCACCGTCTGACTTGTGTCTCCAACGGCGCCAAGGAGCTTCACGGAGACGCTCCCGGCACGGCCTGCAGCGCCTCAGTGCGGAACTGGCGCCCTCCGTCGGGTGAAATTCATTGAAGGGTGGGTAGCAGTGATTTCAGCATAGGCAAGTATTTCAGCATGCAGATCATTGACAGCGCTGTAATTTCAGGGGGATCCAAAAGGAAGATCAAAGCTCCGTGTCGGACAGACTTGATCCAAAGCTATACAGTATAGCCCAAAGGCCGCCACCAGGTCACCAGTCTACCTCCCAAGCCACCCAAACTGGTGTCCTGCCAACCTCGCATGTCCATGCGTTCTGCCGTCTTCACGTCCTGCGCATTTCTCTGTGCATCCACACTCCAAAGGCTTTGTGTGCCGAGCAAGCATTCGCCCTTGAGCCGTTCCCGATGGTCAATCACCTGGCGAAGCAACCATCTCTCCGTGTTTGATGCAAGTCGGCAAAATCACTATAGAGCTCGAGGCTTTATGGCAACTTGTCCAAAAATTGAGGCTGAGCACCTCTATGCCACTATGCCTGAACTTTGACACGTTGATAATAAGGTTTGGCCCCCCAATGAAACCGCGCCGTCTCGCGGTCTCGTCTCACACCTGGAATCGCATCGAAAAGCTCCCGCGGGGCAGCAAAAGAAAACGCTCGTTCCTGGGAGGGTTGAAAGAAAGCGCGAAATTCGGAGGGAGGAGATGGGAGGGAGGGAGGTCAGCGGGTGGGAGGTGATAGCACAATCCAAAAAACAATATGTCGTTTCAGGCATCCGCTATAGGTAATAGGTAAAACCACCGAAGCCTTACTGATTTCAAAGAAACCTCTGTTTACACGCTGTGAACAGCAGGGTCCCTGTTTATGGCTCTTCCGCAACCGCCCAAACACCAGGTGATGCAAACAAGCCGATCCCAAGAAACAAGGACAAAATACCACAGGTCTACCTATTCGGCCGGCCCCTCTTCATCTGAGCCCGTTCCGCTCCACGCTCCGACCCGAGCGTCCAGGTCGGCCGCTCGTACGGCGGCGCTTTGTACATCGAGGTCTCCTGGGGTCGGTCGACGGAGACCGACGTGGAGAGCGGGACAGGGGGACCGGAGTGGGGGGGGGAACATCCGGAGTGGGCTTCCATGGCCTGGGCCGGATGCTTGAGGATGCTTGAGGTGATTGGGGATTTCAACGGCCTTGGGGGAAAGGTCCCGGAACATGTCCAGCTCACGTGTTCAAGCACGCATGCCATAGCGCTCGGGTAGCACTGATGGGAGAAACATACCATCCGAAAACCCGTGGCATTCCGGTGTTGCGAGCGCGTTCCGGTTTGGAAATCCAACATGGACTTCGGTGTTCAGATGCTTTTTGCCAGGGAGACACGAAGCTGGAGGAGGCTTAGGCTTGGCTTGGGGATCTGCGAGGGTCGCCCAAGGCCTTGCACGTGTACTCTGACTCGTTGAAACCAAGAGGTCAACCAACAGGTCTGAGTGTTAGCACTGAGTGTTGCATTTCAGTGTTTAGTCATGTATGTAATATGTCAACCAATATATAAGCTTATAAGGGTGTTACATTTCAGTGTTTATAGTCCTTCTTATCCTCTCCTGATGGAACCTCGAGCTTCAATGCAACAAATGTTTCTTTCCAACATCGCATGGTAACATGGTGTCGATCCACATCGCAAGGCCCAAAAATAAATCCCGCAACCCAAACTCCCTGGAAGAGGCTCAAATCCGAATGATTTGCGAATGTCTGTGTCAGTCCGACTTTGGGTGAACTCCTGAGCTCCAAGCACCTCTACTGCAAGCACATGCTGCAAATTGGTCGACCTCATCTGCCCCAATTAGAGCGCCGTAGAGTACTATAGGCCCAAGGCTCTCCAACGTTCTCCCCATCCATGGAGACCCTGGCGGAAAATTGATGTGGTCTATAGACTTTGAGACTTGGAATTGTTTTCATCCTGGAGTGGCTACATAAGCAAAAGGACATTGCAAATGACAAAAAAAACATACAGAAACAGTGGGCTAGGTTATTTGTGGATGAATCGGAGTATGTTTTCCAACCCTCAAATGCTGATTCTCCGCCTGACGAAGAGAGGACCACCGGTGCCGCTGGCCTCCTGCAGCTTCCCGCGGTTGAGGTCGATAAGAAAGCGGACAGAACGGCCAGTGAATCCCAGAATAGCCTGGATTGTTCGAATCCCAGAATCATACCCTCAACATCACTCAAACCATCCAGTTTGGACCAGCACCTTCATGTCGGGGTCAGCAATGGAAGCCCCTACAGCACTGGACCTCCAGACAGGACACCCCTTGAAGGTTTAGGGAGATATCTGGAGGATGGTTCTGGTGGATTGACTCAGACCTCGAGCAGCTTCTTTCCGCACTGATTCCACACGTGGAACGTCACAAACGTCGGGCACTTGGGCTTGGTCGAAGGAATCGGACCTCCATCGGCCAACGACTTCCCAACGAAACGACAGGGGCTTCATCGACGATAGCGGAGAATCACACCAACAACCCGATCCGGAAAACCCCCAGGCGATGTGATGATCATTGAAGCATGGAACATGTGACACACATAATAAGTGACACGTACATGATCCAAATATATCCAAATTATCTTACAATCAATTTGAGTTTACAACAACCCACTTCAATGATAGAAGCTTCTTAGTATTTATGGAACATGCCAGAAGAGCATCTCTCAGGGCTTTCATAATTGTGTTGTTTTTGCCGGTTTTCCTCTTGCGTTGCTTTGGGATATGCTACTCAAAACGTCGTATACGAAGTACTGGTACTGACCTACTCAGTGACTCGACGGAAGACTCGAAGTTCGACGTCTCAATCTCCTGGATCTCGGCATCGCCGATCACCACCTGGGGCGACGGCGAAGCGAGGACGAAGCGGATCACGGCGACGAATCACCACGGTGATCACCTGCAGGGTGTCCTTCAAACCAGTTTGGGATCCATCAGAAGAGTGTCCCCAGGAAATGAGTGGCGTCGGAAGAGGTGAAGCCATCCGGAGACCTTTCCCCCCCCTCTCTTTATATTATGATATAGCACTCGATGGCTTGGACCATCTCTGAGTGAGTGAGTGAGTCAGAGAGCTCCCGAGTCAGTGCCCTTCCCTGCATGAAAATCCAACAGAAGAGCGCTTTTTGCGGCCCTGTCCACGGATTCAGAGTTTGTGTCCGACCGATCGGAGGTTCAGATCCCTCAAAAGACGTTTTCATCGTCGAAGGCTTCCACTGTCAACCAGCGCCGCCTATGAAGTCACATCAAAACCATCACATCCCAAGGAGACCAACCTATCTGCGTTTCTTTGCAACAAGCAGTCATCAATCAAATGCAAAACACATGGGAGAAGTTCGAGAAGATCGAACGATCTGGCTGATGTGCACTCCTATGTTCTGAAACCACCCAACGAGACCCTTTCGAACCTCTGAATTCTGGGTACAAGATGGTACAGTACCACTCTAAATTCTGGGTATACAAGTATACCCCAAACAACAAAAGTGCGTACAAAAGGAAGCACCACTCACCGGTCCGTCGCTCCTCTCAACGAGTTCCGGTCCTCGGTCCTCGGTCCTCGCCTCTAAAACCGGCTCGTCGGGTTCTGGATCTTCGGGCCTGTAAGATGGATCCTGCCGACGGCCGAGAGAGACGCACGGCGAGGCGACGACGGACGACCGTACGACGGACTTGAAGCGGTGCAAACGGACTCGGAGTGGCGGTGCAGTGGCTGGAATCGATTTATGGTATATAATCTGTGGTACACCCCATAAAGGAATTACCATATGGAACATCATGAAACCTGGATTCACACGGAACCTGCAGATGGAAGAGGATGTTCCGAAAACCAAGACACCTTGCAAGCCCTCCCAAAAGCATCAAACAACGATGAGCCTCTATAGTTGTATGCCCTCAGACCAGCCCCCCCCCGGGCAGATCACCCCAACGAGCGAGCTCCGTTCGGCGACGAACGGCCTGCACGAGCTCCCGAATGGCTCGGAAGTTGAAGCTATACCAACTCTTGGAGATCAAGTCCCCGGCCGCCCGCGCCGGCGTCAAACAGATGTCCTCGATCGTTTGGGAGGTAGGTCTGTTGATTGGTTTCGGTGAAGGGAACAGCTGAAATCGATGGGAGCGATTTGTTTGGGAGGTAGGAGGTATAGGAGGAGTGGCTGGTTGGGTCAGTGAGGTGCAGGTGGCTGGGGGAAGATGCTGGAATGCTACTGACGGGAAGTCCAAATGGCAGGACTCATTGAAATGGTAAGGCGACGATCCTTGAGGAGCCTCACTCGACTCTTCTGTTCTCATTTTGAGATGTAGTGTGAGATAGATGAGATAGTGTGAGTGTGTGAGCCTCTGACTCAAAGCCGCGCTGAATCATGTTCCTTCTATACTTAATACATCTTAATACTCAGTCTGTTCCTTCTAGTCTGAGGAAAGAAACCTGATGATGCTCAATAGGACTGGTTCTAAATCACTCCAGTTTCTTCACTGGTTCAATTCGTCAGGTCCAAAAATCTGCGAAACCCAACAGAACCACCGAGAGAGTTCGGTCGCTCGCTCTTCGACTCAATGAGCTCCCAGGTGCTCGGATCAGCTGGTCCATGGGATGTCGGCCTGAGATGAATCCGACATCGAGACCCCCAAAAGTCCGGTTGAATTCCTGCTCTATGAAAACAGGATCCTTGGGTACAAGATGGGTACCAGAATCCCTTTATGCCGTTCGGCAGATTGGATGATTGGACGTTCTACCGAAATCATCCCTGTGAACATGTCATTCATGGAGAGGATCTATATATGGGGTATGTTTTTCCCCCCCCCAGTTCATAGAGGCTTCGTCTAAGGAGGATCCAACATCCTGTGAATTCCTTCTGAAGGTACAACTTCTTCGTATCGAAACCTCTTGTGCTATAGATAGAATCAGGTGCTCACTCTTTAGATTGTTGGGGAGTTTCTGTCGCGGCTTGACTGTTGGGGGGCAGCATGGACAAGGACGCACTGTGTTTCGGCCTTTCGGGGTGCAAAAACCTGCGGCCTTCAAGACATACTGACTGCCCAGCTACTGCATGTCAACTCATACATGAGTCTGGACATGTGAGGATACGGTTGATGCATCTGGGCATAGTTGAACACATTGTAACTACATGGAGAGGGGCCACAGTGCCCTTCAGGTAGATTTCATTCCAAGACAGAAGAAGTGAGAAGCATCACTGCCTTCTGTACCCAAGAGTCCACAAAGAGTCCCAAGAGTTATGCTGATCATATTTGCCTTAGACATGAATTTAGGACAACTGTTCAAACTTAATTACCACTAAGACCGATCACATCCGATAATTGTTTTTCACAACATCTGTAGGCAGCTACATCATGCTATAAGGTTCCTTTCCTTTGCACCGCATCTCCGGCCTCCCACATGAAGGGTTGGAACCCCGCTGTGGGCACGCTGCTTGAGACAAGAGCTATGGCGGAACGGCGGGCAGCGGTCCCCAACTTCTGGGTCCGGCTTCGTGGATGTGTACCAAGACATACCAAGACTGAAGACATGATCGTCCCTTTGTTGTTCAGGAACACAAGAAATAGATGTTCCTCAGAAAGAGTTTCACATGGTTTCACCGGGAAACATAAACAATCACCTTGAGCCAAACCTGGTTGCTTTACAACTGTTGATCAGATGATGATGTCATTCTTTGGGCTTCCACCAATTGAACGGAGAGTCTCCTGTTCGCAGCCCTCCATGCGTTGATGCGTCCCTCCGACATGGAAGCCCCTTCAGAACGTTGGACATCAAAACGCCCTCTCCCAAAGATGTCTGAGCAAATGATTCACTTCAGCACTTCAGTACAGCTCAAGCTCAGAAGGTGATCCATCTGCCACCCTCTGAGGTACCGGTGATTGGAAGTCTCTCCTGGGAGTCTCCAATCGCTCACCTGATTGGGAAGGGTATTTGTGGAGACCGGATCTGAAGGATGATGAGATCGTCTGGTTGCAGCCCTTTCCATCTCTAAAATTGGATCCAAGTACTTTCTCAGAAGGCACTTGGACCCTCCAAAGCCATCCCAAACACCGTACCTGAGAAGGTACTTGGATCCCTAGGGAATAGTCAAGTGATGTTCTTCTTTACTGACGGCTCTGGCTCTACACGTTTACTGGGACAGACCCAATCGATGCCCCAGCAGGGTGCCTCCTCGTGCCAGGAAGACCTGCGCCATGCGGGGATCCTGGCGTTGGCAGGCGTCGACCAACGTCGACCAACGCCGACGTCGCAAGCGAGCTCCCGCTGCACTGCTGCTCTTCGACTGAGTCAACAACCAAATGAGCCACCGAGCCAGTCAGCCAAGCACCACTGGCAGGAAATGTCAGTGCCTTCTCAATGAGGTTCTCTAAGACAGTGCAGCTGGACCACAGCCTCGATCGTAGTGCGTCAAATCGGATCAATGTGCTTTGATCTGCGGATCCGGCAAAACTCCAACACATGAGCCGCTTGCCGCTAAAACATCTCACAGCGAAGCCGTGCAAAAAGGCAGGCCAATGGGGAGGTCAACAACAAAACCAGCTTCGGACTTGTGTTAAGGTTGTGACTCTTTGACCCATTTGGACCCCACAGTTGTTGATGTTCGTGTTTGCTTTTCTTTGGATTACTTGACTCACAAGCTAAGCTCTCTCTCCACCGGACCTTCTACCTCCACCAGCACAGCCATCTGAGCGTCCCAAAGCTTTCACCGGGCTCTCCGGACGCGTCTTCGTTGATCGCACCTCCGATGCGCAAGGCCTGCGGAGAGGACGAACCGACCAGGGAAGAGTAGAGACCTCGTCTGCAAAGAACGATGACCGGTCTGCACTGCACCGGTGGAACCAATACATGTTGGGGGTGTATAGTCGGGATCTAGTGATTTTATCACATTTTAGGGGTGTAGAATGGTATAGATATAAAGAGTATAATAGATTTAACGAGAGCTATACATCACTTCTCACAATTCACCAAAACCATCACAAAATCATAGCCTAACCCCATCAACCACCAAATATTTCTGATTTATCTGAGCTCCCGCTTCATCCAGAACCCACTCGAGCCTCGGTGATGAGCACGACGACGCTCTCCGGCTGCACCACCTATCAGCACGGATGGAGCAGGCTGAGTCTGGAGCAGGCAGGTGCGTTTCCGGCAGGTCCCATTGGAGGGCCAAGAATTGGCCAAGAAGGATCTACCATCTCCCAACTTCCCAAAAAGCTTCAGTGCGCCATGCTAGCACCATAGGCTATAGCTGCTTCTCTCCGGGAAAAAATATGTCGCCGGCCTCCAAGGTGGCAAAGGCCGATTTCGAGCTCCTCCGGGGGCTCACCTCGGCTCAGTCCCCCCCGTCCTGGCCTCATGACGAGGCTCGCACATGTCGAAGGCGGCGCGCTGCGGCGCGCGGTGTCACAGTGCTGGGCGACCCGCGCCAGCTGGTAGAGCGCCCCGACGATGGCGCCTCGCAAGGCGCCTTCGCTCAGGCTGGAGCCGCGACACCTGACGAAGTAAGCACGAAGTGAAAAGGACTGGACTGGTCATAGCTGAAGTGTTCGGGTTTCTAGGTTTTTGGATGGTTTTAAGGACCGTCAATCGACATAGCCCAAGAATGCAACTTGATTCTCAGCCTGCCAAAAATCTACACAGCCTCTCCCACAAGACCTGCTAACTATCAAGCTACTCCACCTCTTGTGTTTCCACCGGTTACAGATTCCTTCAAGGTGACGCTGCACCCAGGGCACCCTTCCAGGAGCTCTGCAAGGGAACGGAGCCCATCCAGCGCGTACCTGCCCGTCGCTCGTCCTAAGGTGTTGTCGTGTTCTCCTGTCCAAATCTCCACGTTTTGTCTTTGTTTGTGAGCCACAAACAGATTGAACTTATACACCTTCCAATTGAATTCACAATTTGCAGTTTGTAACAGTTTCTGGCAGCAACGACCACTACAGTATATTATACTGTCTATTCATAGTTTAATATTCTGATGTGCCGTCTAATTCACACGATGCAGCTCCACGGAGGGGAATATGTGTGTGCATCTTGAACTCAATAGGACTCACAGTGCAATCGATTCGTCTTAAGTCTTGTCATTCACTTCGAACCAAGTGAATTTAGGGCAGTGTTGTCATTCACTTTTTGGGGTGATGTTTTTAGATGCAGAACACCACCCCAAAAAGTGTGATTTCGGGCGAAGACCGCAACAACTTGCGACGCTCCCTTCTGTTGGGCGACGATATGTCCCGGACACGGGTTCCACGGTCCACACGTCTTAAGGTACACGGTCCACACGCCGTTCTCCAAAAGCTGCGACCTGGCGCCGGGTCACACGGGTCCGGACTGGGGCTCACATCGAGGATGGTCTTTTTGTAGGATGACAAACAACGAGAGATCCAAGGGGAGACAGTGGTTGTGAAGCATGAGAAGACCTGTTCAACAGCATGGTCTGCCACAAACGGTGATGTACATTAACAGCTGCGCTTGGACTTGGAGATCGTCCGACACGGAACCACTGTGTCCACAAGCACAAAAGAGGCATCACTGCCATTACCTATAAAGGTTAAAGAACTCCAGAACTTTCTGCAAATGTCCCTCCCTTGCGATTCACCCGCCATCCACCATCCGCAGGTCGTCCCTTGGTCGTCTCTTGGGCTTCTGGCTGGTCCGCATGGCACAGCACAGCCGCCTGGGTCGTGAAGCAAACCTTCCACCAACAACCACTCACAAGAAGTCACTATTACATATATATAGAGAGAGAGAGAGGGAGACTCTTTTCCTCTTGTGCATGCCGGCAACACTCGTCTCTGTGGCTGCTAATCAGCTAGTCCATGTAATTATTGATTTTGTTAATTGGCACATGTTCCTTTCCCACAGAAATCGTTTCCCATAGGAGCCTCAGTGTCAAAGTCCGCAGTCAATTCACTACAAACTTCATCAAACCACTTAGAGAGCTCAGTGTTCTTAAAGATTGCTGCCACTTTGGGCTACTGAGAATATCTGGCCTTCACGAGCATTTCTTCTGCCTCCTCATGCACATTCACCAAACACAGGCCCGTGAGTTGTACAGCATGCGCCCCAAAATGCCCTTGCAGCCCTCTAACACGTCTGCACGCCTTGAACCATAGCAGCATTTGGATGAGTGCAAGTCTCCAAATGGAGGGCTGAGTAACATCCAGTTCATCCTCCGCAGGATGTTCTAATACTCCTGTAGCATCATGCCTTCTTCCCCACCCATGGCACTTCTGGGCAACCCAGACTCTGAGGGCCGCCACCCCACCAGCGTGCAAAATCCAGGCCTCACGAACGGGTTCCCAGGCCGAAACCGGAAGCAGCAAGCCAGAAAGCTATACTGGAAGGGCTGACACCGGACCGACCGGGAAGGCCTTTCTTGCTTAGTGTGTTCAGTGGGGTGTCCCCCAATCACCCTCCAAGTTTTTGCAGGTTGTCAGGTTGTCCACGTTTCCTTTAGGAGGTGAACTTGGCTCGAGGGGAACATGATTCGGCAGACCATGTGGATTGAGGTTTGGCCCGTTTAGCTGAATTTCAAAAAGTGTTCTTCAAGAGGATGGAGAATGAGTAAAGCACTTGATCGATCAGATTAGGGATATGGACTGACTATATAGCCATCTATAGCCTCAACCAACGGAATTTGAGCCATCAAGATATGCTGCGTGATGCGTGATCGTCTTTCACCAACGGTCTGCCCACCTTGGCAGTGTCACTTCTCTGCGCGACCTGGAGCCACGCGGAGGTTCAAACGGGTCGATGCAAGGTTCGCTGAGGTGGCGATACGTCAAACAAAAGGCGAGGCTTCCGCTGCGACTACAGCAAGCCAACCAGGGGAAACACTGATGTCTATAAGATCAAGCGTTTCGGTGAATTGACTGGGATTTGCTCAAGGAACTGGAGAAAAAAACATCATTTCCCAGAAGAGGATTCACCTCTATGGGGAACATAAAAACCACTCTACGAAGCAAAACAAGCAACACACCCAGCTTTAAAAAGCCTTGTTATTCAGCTGTTCTGTCAACATCACCCGGAAATGGACCACAAACCTCCCCCGCCAGTGCCTCCCAGTCCGATCATTCCCGGCCCAGCCTTGTAGACCATCCAAATCACGTCCTCCACCGCACTGGCATTCGCCTGTTCGCCATGGATACGAAGACGTGTGGCTGAACATGCGGGTGAACTTGCTTCATGTGGCATCCATCTGTCTGTGGTCATCGGGGCCCTGGGATAGTCTTTCGGTTTTGGAGCCCGAGGACCCAATTCATCTTTCGGTTCTGAGGTTGATGGAGGTTGATCATGAAAGATCTATCTTTTTGACGGTTTCAGGAGCTACAGGTGGATATTATCTGACATGGAGGCTGATGCTGCTAGATCCACGTGTGTAGAAGATCACCACCTTCCCAGATGAGGACACGGCCTCACTCATTCATTCATTTTTGAGACCCGGCCTAGCCAAGAAAGCTCTCAACATACACATTCACACTTGTGGCTTGAAGCCATTGGTTGTTGATGGCTGTTGTGCATGTACCATTAGCCAAAAGAAGAATCGATCTCTTCCATCTCCAGCACTTATATGATATTGGACCGGCAAAAAGCTGGATGAGCTGGGATGATCTGGCCATCCCAAAAAAACAAAAGGACGTCATCCCAAAAGCAAGGTGAGCTGGTCCGGACCCCAAGGCCAGCGAACCACCCGACATCACCACCCGTCGGAACCAGTCCCGTCTTACGGATAATCCGCTCAAAAGGTTCGGCCAAGTCGATCGATTCCCAGCCCGACGGAAGGTGGCCTGAATGTCACCCTTTTTGTACCCATTACCGGGATGCAACGCGCCAAAAACCAGGTCAACCACTGCTCAAGTATATATATATATATATTTTTTTTTTAATTTTTATTTTCCTTAGCAGTCGGGGTCAAAAATGGACGGCGACCGCCCGACCAGTGACCGGACGGCGGCAAGAGGGAAACGCTCCTCCTGTCACTTCCACCCGAGATGTCCCTGGCGCGCCGCTCCGCGCCTTGGTGCTCTGTCTTAAAGCCGTGAGGAGGAATTCCACACAGCGCTGTCCATAGACCTCATGTTGAAGTCAAGGTGGTTTGGTTGAGCGACCCAATCCGGCGAAAGCGGAGCGGACCTATGGAAGCTTGTGGCACCGAACGTCTGAAGAACCATCTGAATTCGACATATTCTGAGGATCATGTTGTCTTTTGAATCATAGACTCAAGACTCATAGACTCAAGACTCATAAACTCAAGACCCCATAGACTCACTTCCTTCGGACTCTTCTCATAGACTCAAGAGGACCCCAGTCCCCAAAAAAAATGGCAGTGCTGCACCCCAGTCCCGCTGCGTGACTGCGGCAGTGCTGCACCCCAGTCCTGTCCGGTTGTGCCTCGCATTGTGCCAACGCCTCATGCGCCACCTGGTGCAAGGGTGACACACAACCCGATTGGTTTGGACGGTCAGCTCCGGTCAGCTCCGGTCACTGACGCAACCGAGGCTTCGAGTAACTGAGTAGCTGAGTAGCAAAAAGGTGTGCAAGATGCATGGCCGAACTGCCGTCCGTTCAGTCTACTGCCTTTGCGATGAATGAATGGATTTTGATGGATTTTAGTATGTTTTTTGTGGTTCCCTGCTGCTGGGGAATCTCAGTTGGGCCTGCAGCGATGCAGATCGAAGCTCATCATGCTGGACCTCCAACGAATCGTCGGTCGTTCGAACATTGGCACCCTAAGCAGCTGGTAAGCAGCTGGTCTGTGCCCGTCTATGCTCGACTGGCTGGCAGGCAGCCTCAACCATGTGAACGTTCATCTTCTATAAGACACATCATGACGAATCTGAATCAAAACAACAAGTCAAAAAGTTAAGTGAGTATAAGTGTTAAACCAAATCATAAAACACAACTGAAGTCCCAAAACAAAAAAGACTTGTGACTAGAACATGACTAGACTAGAACATAGAATTAAATCCTCAACCTGTGTCTTCCCCCACACGCATGTATGCAACACGGGTCGCGCTGCAGCTCCGACCTGTCCGGCCACGCTGGCGAACTGCGCCACCGCCCGGAGCGCGCTCTGGGCGCGGTCCTGCGGTGGGGAGGCAGGTTGGTGCCGGGCCTGGAGATCTCTTCTCTATTCTGTTTTGATCTCAAAAAAGGGAGAATAAAGACTGTTTGAGGCTAATAGGAGGCTCTACTAATAGGAGGCTTATGGAGCCATGGCCTACCTGGAGGATCTAGGAAGACTGTTTGATCTACTAGGACTCAAGTGTAGATGTTTGGTACTGGACGAAGTTGTTCTTCAGGAAACGAACTGCAGGACAAGTCTGCGGACTAGATGTCGAACACAAAACGCTTGTGAATCAGATGCAAGTGTGAGTCAGAGCATTGTGGGGCAAACAATTGTTCCATGTGCTTGTAAGCGTTTCTGAGAGTGAGCTCCCAAAACAAACATCAATCGTGGAAGCGGGTGTACAATCTACACCATTGGGATATGTTTTCATCTTCCTGCTCCGGTCAGGCAGGTACCAGGTAGTGAGGAGTTTGGAAGATATGGAACAGTCATGAACAGTCGAGGTCTTCTCTGTTGCAGCACCCAACATCCGCATCGGAATAGATGGTTTGAATATACAACAAATATGCATTACCAAGTATGCTGGCCATTGGTCTTGCTACCATCCAAGTTGGTTGACAGTGTTGAGACTCTGTTCTTGGGCCTTGTTTAGACATCAATATGGGCTTAAAGATTTTGCCATCTCCTGCTGCAGAAATGAAAACACTAGAAACACCAACAACCCAAAGCGGTTTACTTCCAACAGCAAATCTAATGACTTGTCGCTAAACACCGCTGGGCTGGGGCAAATATGTGAGATCTCTGCAGCACCTTTCTTGGTACCAATGCATCATCAATATGTTGTTAGTTAAGGTGCATCAGGCAAGCTTCAATGGTTGTAATCCATTCCTGTGAAATTTTTGATACTAGTAGGTGCTTCTCTCCAAACAGCCACCATCGCTTAATACCTGGCATCTCCTCGAGCGAGACAGGGAAGTGCACTTATGAATCTGAAGCACTCTGATCTCCACCAGACCAACCCAACTCTTCACCTCAGTCCTCTGAGGACACGATGCACATGGCGGGCACATGCATACACCGTAGCTCTCTACGTGACCGCCCGGCGTGACCGGCCAACGGAAGCGACTGATGGTTGGGGAGACATCAGCTACAGATCTAGCTCAGCTGGGTGGGTGTGCTGGGTGGTGAATGCCCTTTGCCAGGCTTTGCCATGGGCCCCACCAAAACACACCGAATGTCCACCTCTTCATTGGTGTTTGTTTCCGTCGAAGCAGGAGCGGTTGGTTTGGGACATGTTTCCATGGTTGCTACGGTTGGCATGAGGATACAAGGGGAGTCAAGTTATTTTGCCAATTGTTGGGTTTGAGACTCGTTCTGAGAATGGCCCAGTCCAAACACCTCAAATTACCTCACCCACTGTGGGTGGGAAACGTTCTGTGGCCTATGATGTCACTCCTGAATATTGCTGCTTGAAGTTCAAGCTGCAGGATGAGATAGAAACTGCTCACTCCCAACCAGGCAGCCCGAGATGATGAGAATCAGATAGAATCAGTGAATCAGTATCAACTAACTGGCATTGTCCGTGATGTGTGTCAACTGCTTGTCCCCAACAAACATTGGATGCCACTGGATGCTGATGGTTTGAAGGCAACTTGGAGAACGGAAGAAGAGCAGCAAAAAGAGCCGGACCGGCATGCGACTTTGCCATAGTCGACCAGCATGACGGGACCTCTTTTCAAACCGCGTTTTCTCTTTTTTCGGTATGGATCCGCCTTTGCCCCACGCTGACCTGCAACATGATGACCAGTCACCATCCACCCAAAAAACGCTGAACTGACGTTAGAATCACACTAGAATCACATAGAATATCATTCATCAAACACAAAACAACGCAATGAATTACAATGACTTATGACTCGAATGAGAAGGGAGGGGGGAGATGTTAGAGGACCCTATGTACAGTAGGGACCGAAAAGGGGAAACAAATGTGCAACCAAGTTTCGCTTTGTTGGAGTTCCACCGGCCTGCCGGAAGAGGGGGGGGGCGATGGAATGGGCCTTTTTTGGGGGGCTTTCGGAATGGCTTCAGCAACTGAACAAACTGAGTCACCTGCGAAGTCGACATGAAATCTGCACAGTGGCAATTTGCTGCTTTGCCTTAGATCTGAGATTCCAGGACCCCAAAAAAACACGCGCAACTCTGCTTCGAAACTGCCTTTTTGGCTGCTCAAACAGCGGTCCAGATGTTCTGGCCGAGTACTTCGGGTGAGATGATGAAACGAGTTCGCTCGACCACAGGCGAAGATGGTGACGATGTAGTGAGGCGAACATAGTGCATAGTAGCTGCATATAGCAGTGCCAACACAATATATTTCGTGAAACCATTGATCCAAAAAATCCACAGCACTCATCAGTCATCGCTATAGTCATTCATCCTTCTTGATAATCTATCTCTCTTTCATCGATGGTCTTCTTCGAGACCTCTGCCTACCATGTAGGCTTCTGGTGATGTCGACGATCTTGCTTTGGTGCCTGGGGTTTGTCAAAACAGCTGGGGATGCTGGAAGAAGCAAAGGGCAAATAACAAGTCGTACAAATGGCACGATAGATTGGACAATACTCTCGAGATATGCCGCTTAGCTGTAATTCAGTCTATGATCTATATGGAAAACATGAAAAAAAACACTAAGAAAACTATGAGAAAATCATTATGATTGATCTGTGCGGGGAACGTTGCAAACCCCAAAACCACTCTGCAAACCAGTTGGGACCAGCAGGGGGGGCAATGAATGAAGTTCGATGCGACTGATGACATCTGGTACACATAAATAACATATATATAATATACATAATATGCATGTATATATCACGCAGAACTATACAAGTGACAGGAAATCCCAAACGTCGATCTAGATCAAATGCAGGAAACCTCTTGCTTTGCCTTTCTTCCCTTTCTTAATTTTCTTCTTCTCTTCCTTGGGCAGTTGAGGCAAGTCAGCTTGGTCCTCCACATCAATCTGCAAATCCCC